CAGTCTCGCCAGAGACTTCTGGTTTCTCATATTACATTAATTTTTTTTTTAACTTGGCAGTACGCGGTAAGTTATCTCCTTTCTAGTCATGTACACGTTTTATCTTCTGTATCTTATGTGCAATATAATACTCATATTTATTACATTTTCAACAGTGAAATACTGTGATTTATTAATTGAATAAAAGTGATATTCTCTCACAGCGTGAAAGGATACCAAAATGATATTCTCTCACAGTGTGAAAGGATATCAAAGTAAGTAAAAAATAATTTCTGGCCTGTCATAAGATAGAGATAGTAACTAACCATCTTGGTAGAGCTAAAACTGCAAATTTTATCCCAAATATGTTGCTAAAATCCATGCTAAGTAATGTTTTTTCAATCTCACAACTGCTAAGCTATGACGTCTCAACCGCTCAACTATGACGTCAAGCTATGACACTGTGTTAAAAGAAGACAGAGGCAAAGGGAAAATCAAAGAAAATGTAATAAACAGAAAATTCCATGTTTTGTAGATGAATATGGAATTTATTTCACTCGTGAGACAGGACTTTTTGATATTTTCACTCGTGCTTCGCACTCGTGAAAATATAAAAAAATCCTGTCCCACTCGTGAAATAAATTCCACATTCATCTACAAAACATTGAATATCCTCTATATACAATATATACTCATGATATCCTGTGTTGATCTGATTAGTTTATCTACTTTTAACATATAGTCTCGAATTAATCCATAAAAGTAGAATTCTGTGATAAAGCAGTTTCATTATTTCCTGGAAAAATATTCAAGTATGAGTGCAAAAATTGCGCAGGCAACTATTCTCAAAAAACTAACTGAATTCTTTTTCAACTTTTTTTTTCAAAAAAAATTTTGAGGTTGAATGAATCGAGAAGCTTAAAAAATTAAACAATTTCACCAAAACTAATAAAATTTAATGCTCTCTCGTATATTGTTTGTGCCGCTTTGAGTGTCAAGTGATAAAAACGGTGTCCACGTTTACATTTTCATGCCCCTGTAATCGAAGATTCGGGGACATACACTAATAGTTTTTGCTCTGTCCGTCCGTCTGCCTGTTTTTCTATCTGTTTTTCCGCCAAAACTTTAACCTTAACCATAAATTTGGAATGGTTGGGGCTAGGGCTTTCATATTTCACAAGCGTATTACTAGTGACAAGAACTTTCCTAGAGTACCGTTTATTTTGACCTTGGAGTTTGATCTACTTTTGATAAACTTTAACCTTGGCCATACGTTTTGAACAGTTGATGCTAGGGCTTTCATGTTTCACATGTTTATTCCTTTTGACAAGACCTTCCATTGGATTCTAAGTTTTGACCTTTTGTCCTTGACCTTGGAGTTTGAACTACTTTTGAAAAACTTTAACCTTGGCTATAACTTTTGAATTGTTGGTGCTAGGACATTTTTCCACGTGCGTTCATTGTGACAGAACCTTCCCTCGAGAACCATTTATTTTTACCCTTTGACCTTGGAGTTTGACCTACTTTATGAAAACTTTAGCCTTGGCCATAACTTTTGAACTGTTGGTGCTAGGGCTTTCATATTTCACAGGCGTATTTCTTATGCCATGACCTTTCTCTGAGTACCAACATTTTTGATCTCTTGACCTTGGAGTTTGACTTCATTTAAGAAACTAAAGCCTTTGCCATGAGCTGCCATACGGGGGCATCAGTGTTTCACAAACACATATTGTTTGTTTCTTTTATGGTTTTATGAGTGTTTAAATCGTCAGAATCCAGGAACTCAAGAACCCCTGCAATTTTTGAGCATGCACTTTGTTTTTTGCCTAGCTATGCCATTGGTAGCCATGGGACCCACACGAGTGGACTCGGGATGTACATGTATTGATGATCCTTCAATGAATGCACTGTAGTGACTACTTCTATCAAATCCACTTAAGATTTACTTTACATCCATTTATGATATACAATAACATGTATTGATATATGTATCATTTTAATCATAATGATGGACAATTTCTGGTGGATGACACTGCTATCCATCGATGACATAATTTGATTCATTAGTGGACATTATGCAATTAATGGTTAAAAGATAGTAGATTTACGATTCACTTATAACATTAATGGATATTCACTACAAATGCTACATCATATATTGGATTTTTAACCCTTCATATAGCGGTTAATACTCACTAAACGCACAATGCACTCCTTGAATACTGCTCGCATATATTCCCTGTATATGCTCCAGAAATTGTTAAGTTACAATAACTTCAAAAATCAATCAAGGAATTTTTCCTTTCAAATAATGCAATTAATGGAACGAATGGGAAAAGGGTAAGAATTATAATGCTTGTGTCTGATTTCTCATATTTTTATGTATACATGTAAACAAATTAAAACAAAAATCCAAGATTGACAGAATTTTATACATGACACTTTGCATGTAAATATACATATATACAGATATTTATAATAGTAAATAATGTTATGTCATCAAGTGTTTTCAGTTTTCAATGAAGATTTTAAAAAAAAAATTCAATTGTCTTAATGATTGAAAGTTTGACTTTTTCACATGCTTAAAAAAATCTTTCTTTTTTTTAATCTGACAGTATAATTATCAAGATATTAACAAAAGAAATGGTTTTCATTTATTTGAAAAGACTTAACTAGTTTTTTGTATAAAAATCAACAATACATTAAACAACAAAAATAAATAAATAAATAGATTTGGAATTACATGTACATGTATAACAAATTCATCAAAAAAGTACATTGTATATTTCAATCATATAAAATTACATTGAACAAATTAAACATGTATCAAGAAAAAAATGTTAGGAAAATGAATGATGTCTGGTATATACTGTGGACTTCCAGAAAAAAACTAACAATTCCATGGGCTATAAAATTCAGTTAATTAACAAATGTGTATTCCTGCTAGATATGTTTATGCATGACAAATACAAGAAAATATTCAGTTAATACAACCTTTCACATAACTTTAAACTTTTTAGGTATATGTACATGTGTATATACCATCAGCCTTTAGATCGCTTTTATCCAACTCATGAAAAATATATTTTACAAGTTGCTGGTAATAAATTATTAAAGCGATCTGAAGGCCTGTGATATATACATGTAAGTAATAGGCTATTATGGATGTTTCTGAAAGAGCCCTTTTTTCAAGATATGTTCTATTCAATTATGTCATAACTTTATCCAACGATATTCTGAAATTTACCAATATGCTTTACAAAACAATCTCCTGATATTTTGATACTGCTAATTCACAAACAATGATTAAGCAAAATTCATAATAACACATAATCATATTTATTCACCTTTTCACTCTAGCAAGATGAGGATGTAAAATCAAGGAATGTTTAAAAAAGAAAGACATCATAAAAATAAAAATTGAAATAATTTACTTGCAACTGGTAATAAATTAATCATACACCATTATATAGAAGTACTCATACAAGATACATGTAGGCCAATCCATGGAAGCTTCTCTTCTGCTTCTGATATTCTCCATACTCAACAATAATCAACAGTCCTCGCCAGGGTGCATGAAGTATATTTTTGGCAAGAATATGGGCTCTTTTGGAAAGCAATGCCCTATTTAGATTTTTTATATTCTGATAATAGAGTTCTTGATGCACCTAAGAGCAGAAAAATGTCCAAAATTTTGCTTTTATTACTTGAAAAAAGTTTACATATATCCAAATAAGGCATTTGTTGCAAAATATGTCAAATTCTGTCTTTCTCTCTGCAACAAAAAATTTAATTATTTTATAGCTATGAAATCAACAGTTTTTTTTTACAATAGAATCTGAATTCAATTTTTATACAAAGTGATACATTGATGCAGTTATGTCTGAAAATGCCAGATAATTGTGGTTGTTTGTATAAAAAGTAACAATGATGCAAAAAAAACAACATTAAGACATTTTAACTTTACAAACTTCACTCTATGCTACATGTGTGTACAATTCCTGCCTTAAGCATACTTCAAGCACCCAAACTCTTACAATATTGCAGATCCCTGGTTTATAAGCACAGTATGCTATGAAAATTCAAGCCTCTTCCTCTTCAAACTTGAATACTTAATACATACATGTATGTATAGCACCTAAAGAGTGTTTGAACACAAATTGTAAGAATGCATGTTTCTGAAAATATTCCTTTTACACAATCGAATAAATTGAAAAAAAATTTATTTAAAACTTCTTAATTAATAAAAAAATCCAAGCTGAGAATAATACACAGGTACACAGATTAAACAACTCATATCCATATACTTCATAATGGTTAATGTACATGTACATTGGTGGGATTTCAAGACAGGAGCCTCAAGCCGTCATGCTAACCTGAGTCACATTAATTTGTACTTCTTGCTGCAATCTTACATTCATAAATTCAATAAATAAAAAAATAAATAAATACAGAAAGATAGAAAAAGCTTGCTTAGAGGGCATGTTTAAAAAAAAAAAACAGCTCTCCAAATCATATGCTACATGTAAGTGCAGTGGCCATCTCGTGTCATACAACATATAAGAGCACCTGTTCCGGAACAGAGGTGTGTAATTTTGTGATATGAAATACATGTAGTTTTTCTTTGTATTAGAAAAATTAGCTGGGTACATAAATATAGACACAAAATTGTTCACATGAGCCATCTGGCAACCCATGTGCCCTATAATAAAATCATTTTGACACTGCGGAAAATTAAAAAATAAATGAAATGTGAAAAATAAAAAAATGTGTTTAATTCATAAAGATTATTCAGAGTATATATATGTGTAAATAAGGTAGAATCATAATTAAATATCTTACTTGTTGGTGGTGGTGGGGGGGGGGGATAAATTAACTATCAAATATCACACAAGATTTCTTCTTGGATAAATATTTGTATTGGTTCTACATTAAATAAATTCACAATTTTTCTCTGAAAAAAGTTTAATCACAATAAATAATAAAAACGAAATATTAATAATTGAAAAATTACCCTGAATCACAAATGTACAACAATCATATGTACATTCAAGGCAATCAGTTAAGAAATTATATTTTATTACTTTCTTAATTTAGTTCAGAAATATCAAAATAATATGAAGAATACAGAATATATCAACTAGTTTCTACTTCATGGTATATGTATATAGTCGATATGCTGCTAAAAATATTGCACTAATTGAGCATTGGAATGGTCATATATACTTATAAATACTTGGAGTCACGTAATATACTGTAAACCAACTATTATTCAAGATAACTTTTATTCGCAACTGTCAGTTTCTGATTTATCCTTGACGTCTTATTTTCGTGAATGAGGGAATATTCTACAAAAATACACAATAAAATAAATAGTTTGTGGTGAGAAATATTTGTGATTGAAGCAAGGTTGCGAAACTTGCAGATATTTCCTGAACACGAATAAAAGTTGTTTTACAGTACACTGCTGTTCTGACTCTTTGAGACTCCCCTCACAGAGAATCCTGAGTATACATCATTTCACTAAACTATTCAAAATGCCAATATACATACATTTTATGTATATACGGCACACTCTAATATACAAGCTGATGTTAGAGAGACAACCTACACCTTTTGACTAGACTTCTGACTAGATTTGTGAGCACCATGGGTGCTGAGCTTGATCTCACCCAACTTCCATGAATTAGTCAAATCTTCCAGTGCCATAAAATACAGCTTTGCTTCACAGTAAATGAATTATTCATCAAGATGTTAGCACTGGCCTCTGTTGAGCATCAATTAGATCTGTAGATACAAGATATAGTCTGTAGTGATATTTTGATTGGATAAAAATCATTTATTTCATAAGATTTATGCACAGGCGCTTGACGTTTTTAACCTTTCTTTCCATAAATAAAAAATCCCCCATACTATAATAATATAGTATGGGGGATTTTTTATTTATGGAAAGAAAGGTTAAAAACGTCAAGCGCCTGTGGATTTATGCAGTATTTTCATGTATTGATTGAAATGTAAAACAAGAATGATGATAGGGACAAATTGCTTTTATCCGTCCCTAAATTACATGTATCTGCAAATCAAATAACACACAAGGAAAGAGGTTTGCCCCTATGAATCATTCACCAACATAAACATTACATTTTACATACATTCTGACACATGTATTTAAAATGTTGATTTTAATTTGTCTATACATGCATGAATCTGAAGACAATATCCATGATAGATAACCCAAAACACAGGTTAACACAGGCTATACCCTTACAGTTACCAATTTAAAGGCCTCGTGTTTAGGCCTTGGACAACTCAGATTGCTCTGTTGAATATATTTTATCCTAGTTTGTTGAAATTTAAACATTTTCATCAGAAAAGTAATTCACAAACAAGAGGCCCATGGGCCACATCACTCACCTGAGTAACTTTGGCCATGCTGTTCATTACCAGACTCCCCCCTTGTAATACCTATTGTGGCCCCACCCTCCCCCCAGGGGCCATGATTTGAACAATTTAGAATCTACACTACCCAAGGATGCTTCCACTTAAGTTTCAGCTTTTCTGGCCCAGTGGTTCTTGAGAAGAAGATTTTTAAAGATTTTTCCTATATATTTCAATGTAAAACTTAGATTCCCCCTATTGTGGCCCCGCCCTATCCCCTGGGTCATGATTTGAATAATTTAGAGTGTACACTACTTGAGGATGCCTCCACATAAGTTTCAGCTTTTCTGGCCCAGTGGTTCTTGAGAAGAAGATTTTTAAAGATTTTTCCTATATATTTCAATGTAAAACTTGGATTTCCTATTGTGGCCCCGCCCTACCCCCGGGGGTCATGATTTGAACAATTTAGAATCTACACTACCCAAGGATGCTTCCACATAAGTTTCAGCTTTTCTGGCCCAGTGGTTCTTGAGAAGAAGATTTTTAAAGATTTTTCCTATATATTTCAATGTAAAACTTGTATTTCCTATTGTGGCCCCGCCCTACCCCCGGGAGTCATGATTTGAACAATTTAGAATCTACACTACCCCAGGATGCTTCCACATACGTTTCAGCATTTCTGGCCCAGTGGTTCTTGAGAAGAAGATTTTTAAACATTTTTCCTATATATATTTCAATCTAAAACTTGGATTCCCTATTGTGGCCCCGCCCTACTCCCGGGGGTCATGATTTAAACAATTTAGAATCTACACTACCCCAAGATGCTTCCACATAAGTTTCAGCTTTTCTGGTCCAGTGGTTCTTGAGAAGAAGTTTTTTAAAGATTTTTCCTATATATTTCAATGTAAAACTTGGATTCCCTTTTGTGGCCCCGCCCTACCCCCGGGGGTCATGATTTGAACAATTTAGAATCTACACTACCCAAGGATGCTTCCACATAAGTTTCAGCTTTTCTGGCCCAGTGGTTCTTGAGAAGAAGATTTTTAAAGATTTTTCCTATATATTTCAATGTAAAACTTGGATTCCCTATTGTGGCCCCGCCCTACCCCCGGGGGTCATGATTTTTACAATTTAGAATCTACACTATCCCAGGATGCTTCCACATAAGTTTCAGCTTTTCTGGCCCAGTGGTTCTTGAGAAGAAGATTTTTAAAGATTTTTCCTATATATTTCTATGTAAAACATTGATTTCACATTGTGGCCCCGCCCTACCCCCGGGGGTCATGACTTGAACAATTTAGAATCTACACTACCCCAGGATGCTTCCACATAAGTTTCAGCTTTACTGGCCCTGTGGTTCTTGAGAAGAAGATTTTTTAATGACCCCACCCTATTTTTGTCTTCTCTTGATTATCTCCCCTTGTGAGGGGACTTGGCCCTTCATTTTAACAATTAAATTTCCCTTCACCCAAGGATGCTTTGTACCAAGTTTGGTCAAAATTGGCCCAGTGGTTCTTGAGAAGAAGTCAAAAATGTGAAAAGTTTACAGACGGACGGACAGACAGACGGACGGACGACGGACAAAATGTGATCAGAAAAGCTCACTTGAGCCTTCGGCTCAGGTGAGCTAAAAAGGGTTTATTGTATCAAAAAAGAGACCAAATTTCAAGCCTAAGCCTTATAACCTGAATCTTCCACTGGTATTCTGAATAATTAAAACATCTCATACTTCTTTACCCATGAGTGAAGTTATGAAATAATTAGAATAGGCTATATTCCAGAGAAATATACATGTATAATGTTTAACAATCTCAAACTCAATACTAATGGTTACCAGGTAGCAAATGAATTAATTTAATGATAAGTGAAAAGGTGATGATCTGAACATGTAATCCACAAAGCCATAACCATAACCTTAACATGATTTAAACCACATGTCTTCAACTTAACCAGACAAGAGTTCTCCACCTCATATAAAGGTTGAAAAGGTTGTAAAGTTTCATGATAATAAGTACAGAAATTCAAAATCAAAATTAAATACTTTCTTACACAGGAAGTACATGTACATCAATGACAAATTGTTCCTACCCGCTTTTATCCAGTGCCAGGGGAGGGTGACGTATGTTAAGTAAGCATTCAGTGCCACACTGGTACATGTATTGTTCCTACCTGCTATTATCCAGTGCCAGGGGAGGGTGACGTATGTTAAGTAAGCATTCAGGGCCACACTGGTGGCTCTCTTCTGTTCCTTAAACAGCATCCAAGCTTGTCCAAAAGCCTTACCAAGGAACCCATTGGCATGAGTGGACCTTTCAAGTTCTGTAATCAGCATCAAATACACTTAATCTGTATGTCATTCAATGATATTCTTAATCAAATTTGATTCAAATACAATTGAAGGTGGTACAGCAAGAGGACATTAGTCCTTAATTATAAATTTCCAAAGTGACCTTCTTAAAAAGCACTTTATTTGCATTGTCTTATACTATCTACATGTACATGTTTCTACTAACAGTCCATCACCTGCTTTGTCTTAGGAATAACAGCAACAGATATATGTTTTTTTGTGTCCTGCATGGTACAGCACCGACTGGACACAACCTAACACCAGAGCGAACCCAAAGCGCACCCCGGGTTCCCTTCCTGGGTTCGCTCGGGGTCTGCTTTCAGAAATTTTGGGACCGCTCTGGGTGCGCTTCCAGTTCGCTTTCTGGGTTCGCTTTACGCACTCATGTGTGAAGCTAACCCCGCTTTAATCTTGCCACCAGTAAGCCCCGCCCCTTGTATATTCCAAATACAGTAGTGAAATTGATCATTGTTGTTTTTATGGCGATTGAAACATGTACATGTAAGTGACAATATGGAGAACAATATAGACAAAACGTTCATAAATTTTCAAGAATTTGACCGTACATTCAATGTAGAATTATCATTTTTATTTTTCTTAACTTACAAGTATATCTCGGGAAAAAAAGGAGAAAAGGTGTTGAATTTATTTTCGATGTATCAGATGGAGTGAAATTGGTAAGAGTATCTTAACAAAAAAGCTTTCAAATTCATTTGTTTACATTATTTATGCGTGAATAGTTTTAAAATCAGTTGGAACTTTCAATTGTAATTGCAATTGCTAAATTGTAATTCAAATGTTTGAAAGACAAACAACTGAATTATGATCTTGTCTATGAAATAGATGAGAAATACTGTACATGTCAAATGCTAAGTTTTCATATTTAGCAGTTTACATTTAAGCTAGCTAGGTTGTCGTCCATTACATGTACATGTAGGTCGTGATAATCACTAAAAATTCCCATACAGTGTAAATTGAGTTTTGTTTTACAGATCATTTATAATTTAATTCCATGCTATATATCATTGTTTTATAAGGCGAGTTTAACGGAAAACTTACATTAAAAAACAACAATAAAAAAAACCAAAACAAACAAAAACTAATAACTGGTCCACTGAAAGGAATATATTATTATTTTTAAGTTATTTTCAAATAAATGATTTGAATAGTTTATGTTCCTTACTGGTTCATGATCCCCCCCCCCCCCCGGCCCAACTACATACATGCACATACAGGAGCGGCATGTTAACAATCAAAATTCTAAATGTTTAAAAATAAATAAAAAACAAGAAGAAAAAAAAAAACAAGCAAAACAAGATTTCAATAACTGTAAACTCGCATGATTAAGTAGATGAAATTAAGATAATAACACCTGATGTTTTTTTGTTCCTTTAATTTCTATGAGCCCCCCACCCCCACTCCATACTCAAATTGTTTTCTATGGGCCGGTTTTACTTTCAAATAATATACAGTGCTCTCTCTCTCTCTCTCTCATCTGTACATATATATCGACGCAAAGAAAAGTGATAAGCATTTTTGCGGGGTTTTTTGACTGACTTGCAAGTAGTTAAAAAAATTCAAAAACATACACTGTAAGGATAATTAGAATTGACAAAATAATCTTTCCCTATATACATGTATCTAAATCGAGCTATTTATTAAACTTTGGTAAAAGACTGATTTAAAAAAATATCATAGTAGTTTTTAAAAAAAATGAGATTTTTTTTCCAATTAACGAATTGACAGAACGCACATTTATACTGTACAATGTACATTTAATTTTTTTTTTTCATGATCAATTATTAAGATCGATAATTTCGATGTTGATCTGGATAAATTAAAACGTGCATGTAAATTGAAATAATAAAAATAAAATAATTAAAGCATGTACATGTTCTTATCTGTATCTTAAGATAATAAAATTCTATAATTTGTCGAAGACCAGTTTTTCTAAATTCTTTTTTTAGTAACAATTGTTATCTTCTTCTTTTTTTTCTATTATGAATTAAAGTACTTATTGTCTGATAAATTTACGCAATGTATATTGATATATTAATGGATTTTAAAAATATAAAGAAAATAAATATGTAACTATACACGTAACATGTTACCTGGATAATCAAAATATATAATTTATTTATCGATTATGAAAATAAAAAATAATGAAAATAAATATGTAAATATTGCATGCTGTCTGGAGAATTAAAATTTATACATGTAAATATAAAATTATGTTTAAAAATCATATTAATAATATTTTTACACTGTACATTCACATGCTTTGCTTGTACAATGTTTAGATCACAAACTGGCATGTTGACTGGTCGACGCGCTGATGGTAAACGCATTTTATCACTTATCCTGATTGACAGACCTGTTCGGCATGTTGATTGGTCGACGCGCTGATTGGTTAATCGCTAATCCTGATTGACAGCTCTGTTACGCAACACCGAACGCGTGTTCTCTTTCTGGGATCGCTACTGAATTCGGGGTTCGCTTTCAGCGTTCACTCTGGGTCCGCTCTGGGTTCACTATGGGTGCGCTGCGGGTTCGCTCGGGGTCAGCCCTAGCGGACCCCAAGCGAACCCGAAGCGAACCCACAGAGCAAACCCGGGGTGCGCTCTGGGTTCGCTTTCTGTTAGGCTGTGTCTGGTCGGTACTGTATCTCCTCTTAATTGCTTTACAATATTTTCAATGTACATCTTACCATTCTGTATGGTTGTGGCCTCTAAATCTTACCCATTCTGTAAGGTCATGGCCTCTAATCATACCATTCTGTAAGGTCATGGGCTCTTAATATTACCATTCTGTAATGTTTTGGACACTAAAACTTACCATTCTGTAAGGTTGTGGCCTCAACTTCCTGGCAATTTTCTATTCCTGCATTCACGTTCTCCGTTTCTGATCGTGATTTTTTCAAGCTCAGACGACGGATCCCTCCTCGTACAAAAGATCCGAAGGACTCACTAGGATCACTCATCCTGCGATGTGTGTACTGGTTCTGCTCATTGGCTTCCTGACTCTAGGAATGAAACATTTCAAACAATTTGTTGAATGTATATATACTTCTAATCAAAATGGGAAGTTGACAGCTCATAAAAAACATCAAGGAAGTCTGCTTAACTGGTAAAGAAAAACAGCTATAAACTTGTGTTCCTATACTCAGGTTAAGGGGACGTTATATAAAAACCTGTTCATTGTTGAAATCCTCTATCCTAAAGTTTTCCTTGTTAGGAGTCTCTGGCCCTGATCCTGGTACTCTACTGACTGCGACCTCAGCGTGACCTTTACTCTTGGGTCCCCTCATTCTGACAAACTCCACCCGCTTGTTCTGTTTTATCATCCCCAGGGACATTGTCTGCATCATTTTGGAGGTCAAGCTCAGCTAATGAAAGAAAAACATCACAATCAACAAGCTCAGCTAATGAAAGAAAAACATCACAATCAACAAGCTCAGCTAATGAAAGAAAAACATCACAATCAATGCAAAAGAAAAAATTCAGAGTCCCATGAAAAAGGATCTTAAAAATCCATGCAAAAATATGGAGAAATTAGGACACATGGAAGGAAAGCGAGATACAGTATTTGGTACTCTGTGGTACATTTGTGCTTCTACTGCATCAAAACTGACCTACGTGGGTAGTGACTTACCCGAGCATCGTACACTTTCTTTAGCACCTCATACCGGACAGAGCCCAGGAATATTACACCTTGTACTCTGCCATGTCTATCTGTAGCTGTTAACTCTACACAAACCATCTCTCCATCTCTTACGATTATATCTCCAAAGGCCTAACCACAGGGAAAGGCAATTAATAAAAACTTTAGAGGAATGTACAATATATTCTACAAATTCCAACTTTTATCATTATATTTGTTCCTTAAAAAAAAAATATTACCAAGAAAAAAATGAAAGTATTCCTGTATTTCAAATTTTTTTTCTCTTGAAATATATACCTCTTCAAAATTATCTACAGTAAAATATATGTTTGGATATGTGAGTTCTTCCTCTGTTCCCTTGTCATCCATTCTTCTCTTACTTGGAGAAGGGTAAACTCTCTGAAAAAAGAAAGATCCATCAAAAATATTCATTGATGAAGAAGGAAACCACTAACCACTGCCACTTTCTATAAAGATTAACTTTACTGTGTTAAAATTAACAATTTCCCATTGATTTAACTTAATCATAATATCTCAAGTACACCAGTGAGCATGCCTTGATACGAACCTGAGAAAACTTTCTAAGGATTTGAAGATGCTGTTCACTTGTCCTTGTACAAACTGCACAAGTGGCAGTGTAAACTAACTGTAAAATAAACAGATCCTGTAAAACTTACAAGATATACAAAGATTTATGCAAACATGTAACAATTATTATTATTTATAATATTCAATGTCACCACGGTAAAACAGTTTTAGAATTTCAGTAATATTTTTACATAAAATTAATGCTTGTCAAAAGCAAAAGATCTATCATGAATGTAACAGTTTAGAACTTGTTTTAGCTCTGCACTTGAATTTGACAAAAACAGTTTTCTATACGTTCTATTTCCATAAGTGAACTCTTCAAAATTAGAGGAACGTTTGGTCGTCTGACTGGGACAACATGGCGATGCGGATAATACAAAACATGCCAATCTCAATCCAATTTTAAATGTTAAATGTATATGTCATTTATATTAAAGAATAGAAGAACTAAAAGACATATGTAAGAGAGCGAGAACCCTAAATTTATTATCCATTAATAAAAAATACGACATTTCCGAGGCATGTGTATTGCATTTAGAGGTACCATACGATAAATAGACACATACGATCAACAATAGATATAAATTGATATCGTTATCATTCATACTCTTGATGTATATAAAGTTCACAACAATAAAATATTACATTAGTATTTTCTTAGGATTTGTTCATCGACATTCAACATATTGTTTACATGTACATGTTTATGTTACGTTTGTCCCAGAAATCCCGCGAGATTTGTACATTTTCCAACTTTTTCACAAAAGAGCGCACTAAGAAGTATAACTCTTCAATAGTGGAAATAGAACGTATTGGGGTCTGGTAATACTGAGATTCAATGTTCAAGTCTGGAAGCACTCTAAAGTACTTCAGATGTTGTTGTAAGATTCAGAAAAAGGTTTCAGCAGGTGCCCTTTTGAATTACCTGGTGTGAGATGATGTTCATATACACTGTTTCCTCCCAATCAATGGTTTTATCCTCCAGGGCTGGGAGGGTCTTAGAGTCTCGCCTATAGACCTCTATTTCAGGCTGTAACACACCAACACAGTAACAATTAAGTGTTTGCAAGCAATATCCAATAGTTAAATGACCTTCTCTTACACATGAATATTTCTCCCAGTGAACCATCTGTTTATTTGTTATTCATGTAGAATTTTTCCTCAGTTACAAAAAATTAATAGTTACTAATGAATTTCAAGCTGACGAATGAGAATAAAAGTTCACCTAGGTATTTTAAACCAAATGCATGAATTGTACATTTTCTTGAACCGATTAAATTTTTAGCTTATTAGAAAAGCCTTATTCCATTTTGTTAACTACATCATAAATAAATATATAAAGCATTAGATATTGATGACTGAAATCATTAGTGCTTACTCTGAAAGTAAATGACTTGTTTTTGGGATTGTGAGTTTTTCTGACATAAAACAACATGTCATCTCGTTGGTCATCGGGAACTCTTGATGGATCAATAAAGTATTTAGTAAAGAGATCTGTCCAGAAAGATGTGGAGTCATCCATCATTTCAAATCCTACAAAAGAATAAAGAATATAACAAATCAAAATAAGAATTGAAAAAAAAAATAATAATGATAAAAGAATACTGCATGCAGGGAAATTTTCACCCCTTTTATTTTCGCCCCTTTCACCCTAGACGCGAGTGGGCAAATTTAAGACAGGGCAAATTCAAAGAATAAAAATTTAATTTCTTAAACATAACTGTGACTGGGCAAAATTAAAATGGGGCAAAATTGTTTGCAAGTATGAAAGGACGAAAATAGCACGGGGCGAAAATAACCCTGTATACAGTATGTTCATGTGTAAAACACTTACCTGAGTTTGAGAATTTTATGACATAGAATAATAAATAAAACTGTAACATGTAAATCTTCACATGTACCTAAAACTTCACGACCTAGTATTTGTAATTTATTCCATCATGAACATCATAGCTACTCTAATCATGTCTGCTGCCAGAGTACAGATTTAGGTACCATATGAGAGGACCCAAATTTACAAACAGTCCTTTTCCCAAATGGCATCAAAATCTTGTCAATGAAAAGTTTACCACACAGAGCAGTGGACAGCACCTCCCTAGGCAACTTGGCCTGTTTAGACAGAAGGTATTGGCCTGCAGAATCCATTAATCACATTACCAGCCATTTATAGCCAGTTTTTAACCTGCAACTGTACATACTGCAATCTTGTTGTCAAACCAAGGGCATGCTGTACCGTGATTATACTCAATTTATTGAAAGAACATGTTCATGAATTTCCTGGTAGCTTGTTTCAGGATTCGTAAAGATCATAAATTGTATTTTTAAAACGCGTAATACCATATTAAATACAAACGTCAAATTCCACACACGTGTAAATAGTCAGAATCTTGTGACTCATTTATTTTCTTCCTGTCAAATGTCACACACCTTGGTTCCCAACAAGGGGTACATTATCTGATAATCGAGTGAAATTCAACTTTACCGTCAGTGGAAACGATCAGCGATTCTTTGGTTCGTTCCGTTTTGATTGCCCGCATCATTTCTTGGAAGGAATCACTGTTCTTAATCCCCGATTTGGAGTCATCAGGATGAGGGGAAGGTGTTCGACTTTCCTCCATTGTTTATGAATTTAATAGATAACTCGTACGCATAATTTATGACATTTTTGACAAGTAGATCCAATGATAAGTCGAGTTTAAACCACAATATTTTTTCCTTTCTTTGTCAACAAAAAAAAAACAATTGAATTTGAGACGATAACAAGAAACGTTAACACAAGTCTGCTTATTAAAATTAGTCAAAATTTATTATTATTATTAATTTAAAATAAATAGTTTATAATTTTAAAAGATAATGTTGAGGAAAGTATATTTTATCCTTCCATTCCCAGTCTTTCCAATATTTTCAAATTTGACCGAGAAAAAATTATTCAGAATTACTTAAGCTTTATATTTGATGAAGATTCTTGGTTTGTAAAAAATAAATTCAATGGGAAAGAATATCCCAAAGAAATATTGGTTCCTACGTGTAAAAATTTTGTACAAGCTGAAATTCATACTGTTTTCATGAAGGGATCATCTTGAAAATTACCCATAAAAAATCTTAGTCACATCTCAGTCAGATTTGAAAGCAATACCTGAAATTCTGGTAAATAAAAGTTCAAATTACTTTTCTCAAAATTATCATTACAACTAAACTTTTTCTCAAAAAAAATACATTTCACTTCTCTTTTCTGCATTTCCATCCTTGTTTTAACAAATAAAACATCTTTTAAGCATAACCCTCCAAGTTAAGGCAACTTTTCAGAAAATCCCCCACAAAAGCTCTTTAAAAGTGATATGATTGAGAGACTAAGTTTTTAATTGTTGAGTGGATCACCATTGTATCTACATTAGAAAAAAGGCAGTTATTAAGTCAACAACATGCAAAGATAGACGATTTTTTTCTCCATTTTCCATTTACTGTAAACCTTATTTCATGATAAAATATGCACATTGCATGCAAATCCCCCCCCCCCCCCCCCGGGCCCTCTCAGGCCTGTGAGTTTAGAATTTTGGTAAGTTATTTTCAAATTGTGGGTCAACAACATTTTACCTAATAGAAATACTTGTGCTTAAAGACCTTTTCAAATTGTATTTTAATGTATATAAATTAAATATAACCAAAGGCATACATGTCTCACCAGTGGGCCACCACTTTAAAAGAAGTTTATAATAATTACACTTCTGTAAGATTTAAAGTCGTAATTTAAAATATTTTGAATTCTGAGATATTTACAGTATTGTGCATAAAGAACATATTACATTGATTTTATATAATCACATGTTCACATATTGGCTAAATTAGCTTCTGTGATATATTGGGCTAAAACTGTTTATAATGATTATTCCTCTTTATCAATTAGTAAAACTTTTGATAATGGACATATTGTTTCAGCAAATTTCAACAAATTTTTGTCAAGTTTAATCATCTAATTCCATCTACTGTTAATGGTTATTTTGTTCTTATCCCATTTGCAAATGGTATCACTCCATTTTAAATTCACACATGCAGACATTGACAAAGTTGTTGTAACTGAGAGACTTTGAGGTATTTAACCCTGTCTCTTTTAAATTCACCCCATTTAGAATTTGTTGATAGTAGAGTGAAAATTTCAGTATTACAGTTATATCAGAGTATAAAGGAAATACTTCATATATTTTCTCTCATTTATTGATTTAAATTTTTTTTAAAATATATTTACAGTGCATGGTCATACATAAGATGGATTATCGATAAGCTAATAAATGGAAATTTTGGATGTATTATAATATATACACTGTAGGGAAAAAAATTGAAAAAAAAAATAATTTATGATTAAAAGTTATAAACAATATTCATGGTTGTAAATTACATTATTATTGATATAATTATAATATTTTCCAAATACAAAAAAAATGTAATATTACAAAATACCCTGATTATTTTTATAATGTGAATTTTCACAACTTAACTCATACCTATAATTCACTCACAAAAACTACTTACTTAACATGTCAGTCAGTATAATCCTTAAAATTTCCAAGACTACAGTCAGAAAATGTGTTGATTTTAATAAACTTTGTATGTCCATGACAAGACTGTAGCTCTGGTGGGTTGGACATGAAATAGTCTAAGGAGAAATATACAGTACACCCGAGTTAAATCTTCCATTGAACATGAAATATTTTCCTAGAATATCAAAACTCTCTCAATGAAAGCATGCACCCAAAATGAGCTGGGTGTTTGATTATTTTCAGAAAAAGCACTTAAAATTTAACAAATCATTCTGTTTTTTAAAAATTTCACAAAATCAGTTTGATTTTTTTTCCCTGTCTAATAAATGATGTCTATTCTAAAACTTCCACTAAATTTTTGCTCCATGATTGGATGATCATGGGCTCAAACCAAGGCTATGACTGACCTAAGTCAATAAAAAATAGGTACATGTAGCAACTGTTCCTTCGCCAAGCACTCAGCACTTTAAAGTGAAAGTTGCAGGTCATTCTGATGAGACCATAAAAACCAAGGCTCCGTGTCACAGCAGGTGTTGGCACAATAAAGATCCTTCACTGATCAATGGTCCTGAGTGCTGAGTAAAGGTCTAAATTTGAAGCCCTTCAATGGTATATGGTGACGTCTCTTTATGAGTGAAAAATTCTTGAATGAGACTTAAAGCAACATACAATCAATCTAAGTTTCATTGTCTGAGAACAGAATTGCATTTTGTGAAGAAGTCATATAGGAACAACAGCCATTTTTCCAAGTGGAAGTTTTGCCTGTTTTTCCCCCTGATGTGAAAATGAGGTCTCTACAGCCCAGTAGCTAAGTAATTTGGAACTAGCTTGAAAATATGGATATAATTTAATTGCTGTGGTAAAATTAAGAAATTTATTTCAAAATTAAGGGTTATCTCCCTCATGCATAGCTCCTTCGACGTATTAGGCTCCAGTCTTTGGCATCCTTTTTTTTCAGCTCTTCAGTCTTTTTAACATATTATGGATTTCCAACATTTTGGCATGAGCATCACTGAAGAAACATAATTTGTCAAAATGTGCATCTGGTGCATCAAAATTAGTACCGTATATGATTTACCTATAGAGCTAAAACCAAGTTATACATGTATATGCCTAAAATCTATGTTCTAGAAATTGCTCTGCATATGAAAAGGGTCTTTTTAATAATCAACTTTCCATGATTGATTTATATTTGTACTGGTCCTCTGCCATTTTTCTGAACACTTTGTACTTTTTATCATGGAACCTGGAAAAATAAAATATAAAAAAAGAAAATATTGTGGGCTATTAATATTCTCCCTATATCAAAGAGATTTTGACAAAAAAAAAAGATACCGGTTAGTGTTGTACCGATAATCAGAAAACATCGATTGTCAACGAAAAAATGCTACCGATTCCGATGATCGATTATAATTTTTCATAATTGATCATTGGAAACATACTTCTTATACAATACATTCTGGAATTATCCATTTCTGGTTTAACATTTATTTCTTCTTAATGAAAGAAAATGGCATCTGCATTTGATACTACCAAACTAGCACAAAGCAGAGATGATTAAGAACCGAAAGGTGCATATATAGAAAGTGTAAAAGAAACAAAACAACAAAGAAAATAATATATTATATATTTTATATATTCATGTTAAAGAAATGTAAAGTACAAAATTGAATAATTGTAATAGTCTGCTTTTTATATACAAAACTATGACATCTGATTATAATCGGTAAAATCGCATCGGAAGCAGTAACCGATTCCAACCGATGATCAATTATGAAAATAAACCGATGTCCCATCACTTATACCTGTACACTTAGTCACTTCAGCGTTGTCCTTATAAGACCAATAACCCCCCGGGACAAGGTCAAAGCATGTATCTCATTAAATATTCACGGATTCCACAAGAAGGTACATGTAAGGCAGAATGTGATGTAAACACTGAGATAACCCTTGGGTCTTCTGACAAATGGACTGACACAGTGATTCTAGTTTATATAAGATATATTTAAGAAATAAGGTAACTTTTTTAAACATCTATCGGGATATAAATCGGGTTGGTCACGAGATCAAATTCCATAAAGCCCGAAGGGCTTTATGGTAAATTTGATCTCGTAACAACCCGTATTTATAGCCCGATAGATGTTTTAAAATGATACCTTATTACTTATATTTACATTTGTGACTTATTCATATTTTATATTTGCCTGATTATAATCTTTAACGCGTGAAACATTTTATTTTTCAAATCCAATGGCACGTGTTTGATCCACTGATTGCGCGTCGACTCTTTATGACGTCACTGAGAAATTACGTCGAACATTTATGACGCGAGGAACCTGTGTTTATACGGATATAGATACGCGTTGCTTTTAATAGTGTTATATAAAAGAAAACATTTGCAAATGTAAATACATGTATATGTTTATATACTGATATATAATTTGACTCCTTGTGAGGTCAGAACTTGTAATGTTTTACTCAGTGCTGTTTTATGTACAATTTAGTGCTTACCCAGTCTGTGACTCTGATGGCCTGATTATTTTTCCTTCTCCACACATAGTCAGCATAGCATCCTTTTCATGGTTGTAAAGCAAATTTTTCATTAATAAATCATTCAATTAACTGGAAACATGTATATGAGAAACAAATCTAGAATATGGACATGTGTACATACATGTATTTATTTAGTGTTTTATTTGATAATACAACAGTGTAGATCTTAATTTTCAAACTCAATCCCTTCATTATACATGTATTTCCAAACAATGAATACTTGTAGCTGGTAGTACTTGTAAATCTGCAATTAAATTCCTAAGTCAAACAAGAAGCCAAAGGGACTTAACTGTTACCTGATTACAATAAAACACTGTAAAGGATCCACAAAATGGCAATTTTTAGCAAAATAAACTGATACATGTAGATGAAGATACTGTATGTGTACTTAAAAAAGTGGGTTTCATATTTTAGCGGCTTTGGTGTGGACAATGCTCTAATTCATGAATATCATTAATAAATTAGTTATTAATACAATGCAAGGTGCAGACGTATGTAGTGCTAATTTATAATTACAGCAACCACTAAATTCCCAGTGATTGCGCTAAAATTTGAATGTGTTAATTTATGTACATGTATACGAGGGGTGATCAAAAAGTTCGCAAACTATCTCTATATTTACAAAACCACAATTCAGATCAGAATGAAATTTGGCATACATATAATCATACACATGTTCTATAAATAACACGTTAAATAATGTTTTGCTCTGTGTTTGTGACGTCACAATGTGAAAATGACGTCAATATGCAGGTCACTTGTGACAAAAAATGGTTGACTCAGTCGTACTCGAATAAAGAACGGCTGTAAAGTTTAACGTATATCTTGGAAATTCTTTTGCAGTAGAAGATGATAATTTCTACAAGGTATATGAAGACAAAAGACTTACCAGACCTTCAATCATTAATTGGATTGATTATTTTAGTGAAGGCAGGGAGATGGTTAAAAATGGTGTTTGTTATGTTGCCCAGCGAAAGCAAGCCGGGAAAAAGATGTGTCGTTAGTTGAGCAATTTGTTATGAAACGTCGTCAAGTTACAATTAGAAAAATGGTTGAATATCTTAACAATAATATAAACATTATATCCCTAAAATATCGTTTACTTTAGTCTTTAAACATATGAGATATGATAAAAAGAAGGCCGCCATACTTTATCCACATTGGATAAACGACACTCCCAAGACAGAGAACTCTGGTTGTGATAGGTCACCATACTAATTGTGGGAAGGGATATCCTTATCCACCCATGCTGTTGCTGAGATTTGGCCATTTCTGACAGATGGACTGTTCTTGTTATAAAAAATAAATTGCATGGTAAGAAATACAAGACTCGGGAAAATCTTCTAGCTTCTTTGAACAGACTGCTACGGGGCATGTCACGTGACTGCCTGGATCACGTGATTCGCGCATTGGGCAGAACGGTGGCAGATGTGCATTAAAATCGGAGAGGACTACTTTGAAAAATAATAAACACTGAAACCTCATTTTATGTCTTTTAAGGAAGTTATTCAATTAGTTCGCGAACTTTTTGATCACCCCTCGTAGTATGTTGCTCAAAAACAAGAGAAATACTATGATCAAGGATTGACAAAATAGATAGTCTATTCATCAACAACTATTATCAATCACATTATTTACTGGGAAATGATTTCCCTCAAAGCAAAGTACAAAATTTACCCTACAGGTTACATAAAGCCCTAAATACCAAGCAGCAAAGAAGAAGATTTCAAAGAATTACCCAGGTAATGCATTTTCACTGTATGATCAATAGAGCCCCACCTGAACACCAGATCACCTGACCCTGGGGTCATAAATTGCAAAATTTTGGTAGAGGACTCATTGATTATCAATCATAAAAACTGTTTGACTGCTTGATGTCCAGGAGTAAAGAAGAAAATTTTGTTTGAAGATTGCATTATTGATGGTTTGGCCCCACCCTAAGGCCCCAGGGAGGTAGAGACCATGAAATTCTAATTTTTTTCTCCTTTGCCCATAGATGCTATAAACCAAAATTGGTTGAAATTGGTTCAGTGGTTCCAGAAAAGAAGATGAAATGTTAATGGATGATGACAGACAAAAGCAGATAGCAAATGGTCGCCTGAATGACTCAGGTAAGCTAAAAATTTAGAGCAAAAGTGTCATTCAACAAACACTGTGCAGACCTGGATTGTTCCAAAGTCCTTGGAAGCACTTGCTCCAAGGATTGCTGATCCAACCAATACTAGCTCTTCTTCATCAGGAAGAACCACAGGAATGCCTTGAATATAAAGCAAATGATGTTCCCAAATCAAACTGGTAGTGAAGTGCTTACTTGACAGAATAAAGAAGAATTCAAATGATTTGATCCAATTCCTTGTTAATTCATCCTTAGATATGAGATCACATTTTACCTAAAACATCTGCATGAGTTTCCATGTAAAGGCGATTTTTACTCAGACCTCCACACATATAAATAATATCAACTGAATGACCCGCCTTCTTCATCTCATCAATAATATGTCTGGTCCCATACTATAAATAATAACAATAATTCAAATGTGATTGATATATTATTACTTAAATATCTCTCCTCAGATATCTCGGTTACCTCACAGCTGTTTTTTTTTTTTTTTTGACAGATTTAGACAACTGAAAATCATATAAATTATTGACTCAGCTATTTGTAACGGTCAGTATGCAGTATTACTTACAGCCAGAGCTTGTACGGTGGCTAGGTATTGTATTGCAAGATCTTTCACATTCATAGACAACGACATTCCACATATCTGAAAGCCAACAGGTAAACAGAAATGCATTAAAAGAATGCTGTGCACAGGAATCTCAAGCTAAGTCATAATCTGTAAAACCAAGGTCAGGATTGTTCTTATCAGCTATAATGAATACTGTGAATCATGTTTAATTCTTGAGAACTTTATTTTTGAACAATTTTGTGAGATTGTGTATAAGCGAAAATGAGGTTCTCTTATGTAATAACAGGTAGTAAATATTTACTTATCAAATGTTTTATTATGAAGAATGTAATGCTATAATTTTAAGAAAAAATTAAAATAAAGTTATGTGAAGTGTAAGTAATTTACATAGCTTGTAGATGTGTAATCTGCAGAATACTTCATAAATATACTGTATGTGTACATAACTTGGCGTATTCAAAATTTAGTGCAATCACAGGTTATGTAGTTGTTGGTGAAATCATGAATTAGCGCTATACATGTCGGTGCCGTTTATTGTATTTATAAATTATTTCTTAGCGGTATTCATGAATTAGCAAATTGTTGTCTGCGCCAAAGCCACTAAAATATGAAGCCCACTTTTTTAAGTACACATAAAGTAATTATAACTTCAAATTTGGTTTGTAATTGTACAGATATTGAAATGTTCTCTTGGATGTCTAGAAGAGAGTTTTGAAGTATACAGATAATAAAAAGAACACTTAATTTTAGCCAATAGCCTTTGCAAAATTACATAACCAAATATTTTAAAGCATTTAGAAATCAAGAAGTACCCACCATACCCTTGAGTGTAGGGTCTGCTAAAGGTGATCTGTTGCCATGGAAATCTGGATAAACATGGTAATCTCTGGCTAAGTGACTGACAAATGGCAGTTCATCTTGTTGCATATAAGTATTAAGGCAGTTGTTTAGGTAATCATGAATATGAACTGGTTTATTTCTGAAAAAAAAACAAAAATATTACACAGAAGAATGCTCATGTGTCTCGGAAGTATTTCAGTGTTAATCTAAAGCAGTGTATTCACCATCAAAAGATTTACAGCAATGTAAAATTAATACAGGTCATTGAAATGTGTCTTACATTCTTCATATAAATTCAAGAAACACCTTGTGGAATGTGTATCTTTATAATTTCATAACACCAATTTATGACTTTTCTCCATAAAATAATAAAGTAAAATTCTTACTTGAGAGTTTCTGCTTCTCTTACAGCTTGAGTGTAAGCAGGGTGAGACTCAATCAACTTATCTATCTAAAATCAAAAAGATGGAAGATTACTGCATGTGGCTAAGAATAAAATGTAAACTTCCAAAAATAAGATAAGTTAAACAATTAAGTAGGTATTATTCGTGTTGTTTGATTTAAAAGTGAATACAGCTGGTAAAATTACATCTTGTATAAGTTATAACGTTTGTTTCAAAAAAGTGTAACACACACTTACTTTAAAATAGACAAATTGGTAAAATGCCTCTTTATAAAAAAATCCTGGAGAACTTATTCAAATTTTACTAAGGTTAAGTGTAACTTATGAAAATACTAAGCAACCTTAAATTTCACTTTAAGTTTGGCTTAAATATAGAGTCTCCAATTACTGTGAACCAACTTTTATTCATGTGCGAGAAATATTCGCAAGTTTCCCAACCTACTTTCACTCGCAAATATTACCGGTAATCGCCGCAAACCATTTATTTTGCTTTGTTTTTGTAGAGAATTTTTCCTCAGTCACGAAAATTAATCTCCATGGGTTGATTTCAAACTGAGGAATCGCGAATAAAAGTTGGCACGAATAATAGCTGGTTTACAGTATGGAAAAGACTTGCTACATCTATGTCTCAACAATGTACACGTATATTAAAGCATATTAAACTCAGATATTGAGTTTTTGTAATGCATTATCCAAGCAAATCTGGTGCATAAACCTGCTGCATCAAACTTTAAAATGGAGGGTTTAGATGCAACTTAAGATGTTTTCTTTGCAAGGTACTTTTTGAACCACAATACCCTGGTAGTTTCATTTACACATTCTTTGACAGGAAGAGAAATGTAACTCTGGAGCTAAATGGCTCTTTGGCCTTTTGTTTATGATTTTGTGTAACTGACCAGTTGACCACCTGCACTCTGACCACCCTCAGCATTGTACAGACCAGGCAGTATAGCAGAGTAGTACGGCCCCCAGACTCCAGGAACAAAATAAGGATTCTGGCTCATCTGCAGGAGACACACATATTGAACAAAAACATTCTTCAGCATTCAGTTCATCAACGTAGTGAAAATGCAAATTATATTTTGAAAATTATTGCATTTTACCAATGCTACATGCCTTAATAAACTCTTTTTATTCTTTATTTTATTTGTACATTCAAGGTATTTATGTGACAGACTGAGGTTCCTGATATAACTATCATTCTGTGACTTACAATCATTTGAAAGACTGAGGTTCCTGATATAACTACCATTCTGCAACTTGCAATCATGTGAAAGATATATAACTACCACTTACAATCATGTGACAGACTGAGGTTCCTGATATAACAACCACTTACAATCATGTGACAGACTGAGGTTCCTGATATAACTACCACTTACAATCATGTGACAGACTGAGGTTCCTGATATAACTATCACTTACAATCATGTGACAGACTGAGGTTCCTGATATAACTACCACTTACAATCATGTGACAGACTGAGGTTCCTGATATAACAACCACTTACAATCATGTGACAGACTGAGGTTCCTGATATAACTACCACTTACAATCATGTGACAGACTGAGGTTCCTGATATAACTACCACTTACAACCATGTGACAGACTGAGGTTCCTGATATAACTACCACTTACAATCATGTGACAGACTGAGGTTCCTGATATAACTACCACTTACAATCATGTGACAGACTGAGGTTCCTGAAATAACTACCACTTACAATCATGTGACAGACTGAGGTTCCTGATATAACAACCACTTACAATCATGTGACAGACTGAGGTTCCTGATATAACTACCACTTACAATCATGTGACAGACTGAGGTTCCTGATATAACTACCACTTACAATCATGTGACAGACTGAGGTTCCTGATATAACTACCACTTACAATCATGTGACAGACTGAGGTTCCTGATATAACTACCACTTACAATCATGTGACAGACTGAGGTTCCTGATATAACAACCACTTACAATCATGTGACAGACTGAGGTTCCTGATATAACTACCACTTACAATCATGTGACAGACTGAGGTTCCTGATATAACTACCACTTACAATCATGTGACAGACTGAGGTTCCTGAAATAACTACCACTTACAATCATGTGACAGACTGAGGTTCCTGATATAACAACCACTTACAATCATGTGACAGACTGAGGTTCCTGATATAACAACCACTTACAATCATGTGACAGACTGAGGTTCCTGATATAACTACCACTTACAATCATGTGACAGACTGAGGTTCCTGATATAACTACCATTCTGGATGTGAGGTCTGGTAATGGTAAAGGATCAGGATTGGCACATTCTTTAGGAATGCATCCCACACATCCTGTAAAACTCCACAGTTTAAACAGTGCAGCCAAAACAATTTTAACTACGCAGTACAGTTAAGGCTACCCATTAAACTTTTATGGTAATGAGGTCATAATGAGGTTTGACGTCATGACAGTCGCTCCGCCCTGATATATCTATATAAGGATTTAGAGCTCAAAATAACTATTTAACGACAATTGCAAGAATTTGTAACAAATGTCCGTATTCTTGTCTTTAAATAAATTAGAAGTAGTGATTTTCTCTTGTTTAGAACATCATGTTGTCGAAATAATTCGCTTTTTATTGTGTCGTTTGGCTGCACTCGGCTTCAGCCAAGCGCTTGCACTTAGTGACACGGAATGTTGTTTACATAAAGGACGTGGAGACAGCGGCTGAGATTTGCGGTGGAAAATACAGCAAACAGGTAAATCTTTTAAAGAGAACAGTAATAAAGTAACAGATTTATGGTTTGTTTATCAGATGATGCAGATATTTAGAGAAATCATGGACTACTGAGGCTATTGCACCACACCTCTCTACCCTGGGCAGCTGCAGGGGTTTTCATATTTAGATTCGTATATTATGTACGCATAGGTATCAAGATTTAGACATACTATTGTTAACATCAATATGAAATAATCGAGTGTGTATGTATAATATGTATACATGTAGCAAGATATATTGGCAGTGCCTAGGAGCTGTGTCTAACCCCACACCCACCCACCCGCCCCCTTACACACACAACACACAAAAACATGATATGAAGTTGCACACCAACAGTTTAATTTGCACTGAATATGCAATTCCTTGTCGTTCAACTAATTTTTGAGAGAATGCATGTATCATGGAGATCTGCAGGCATGCAAAAGTTTGCTGTTAAATTTATTAAAATTAATTATTGTTCAATTTCAATCATTGATAAAAGATTCACTAGACATATAATGATGTTGACATACAATCATCTTAATATGTAATTTGAAAAGGAAAGCTGGATATCAAATGATAATTTAGCACATCCATAAAGTGTATATTTCTGTAAAGTGAAACTGTATTGTGTATGTAATATACATGCATGTATGCATTTTATACTCCAGTCCTGTAAATCAAAAATAGGATTTAAAGTTTAAATTTTCACCAGCTAGTGTTTCATACTTTAAAATAATTCTTAGCATCTGTATTATGAAATTCTAAATCTGTAGAATGATATCTCTAAATTTAAAATTGGATATCATGTTATTTTATTTTTCTGGTCTGATGTACAATTCTTTCATCATTGTAACTGTCAGGTGCTGCATGCTTATAATCCAGAGTTATCTACAGAAAACATATGCAACAATTTCTAAACATGGTATATTCACTATTAAAATATTTCACAAAAATTTTATTGTATGCCAATATAATAGTTTTTCAATTTTGAACAGATGCAAGAACTTCATTTATGAATTTGTTTCCTTTAATCACTTATTTTCAAAGCTTAAATTGCTAAATTGCAAATGTCAGAGTTTTAAAATTCCCAGAGAAGTTTTGTAACAAAAGATTTCATGAATTTTAGAAAATGTTATATTACATGGTTTGTTTTGCACATTGCAGTGCCATTTATTTTAACTAATATGTATTTGACTCATTACATTTTTGGTATATTTTATGTTACAGTAGCTGTTCACAAAGAATTTGAACCATTCCAGTGTTGACACAGGCAGCCAGTGTATGGACCAAGTAAAAAGGTATGCTTAATGATATCAACAACACACATATTCATGGCACTATTATTTTAAAAATTATTTTAATAAATAAAAACAGCAGAGTTACAGATATTTGATACATTATTATGTGATTTCATTAGATTTTACTCATTACATTGTTTCAAGTTTTACTGTTTTAATCACCAGCACACTTAATAATATTTCATTTTATTTTTAGATTGGATTTTATCCCAGAGTACATGTCTTGATGGAAAAACTATGAACCTGCTCAGAATTACCTCACAGCCTGGCTTTGTATGGGAAAAGCTGTAGTTATTAAATAAATTTACTAGAAGAATAATACTTTAACTGTTATCTTTCAATTGCAACAGTGATATGAATGTCAGCTTTTAAGGCTGTAAAGGTGTGAAAATCCAGACTTGCATGAACATGGTGTTTTAGATACATTGAACCAAATAAAGCCTAATATTGGCATAATTATATATTTATCATGGTCACTTGTATCAAAGAAGTATCTATTTTCTGATTACATTTTTATATCATTTAGCTCGGGTGCTTTCATTTTGTTTGTTTGTTTTTTTTTTTTTTTGTGGAGAAAATATCAATCCCTAAGCTTTTATACACAAACAAGTTTATCACAGATAAGACCCCCCCCCCTTTAAAAAAACAAAATGAAAGCACTCGCTCTAAATGAGATGCAATGGTTATATCCTAATAAATAAAAACTAGATCATGATGTTTACAAGTTAACAATGCCCAAGTATATATCATTGTCCTTTTATCAAGGGAGCTAAGAAGCAAAATATAAGGGGTTACATATGCAGAAAGTAGGATAGAACTAATTATATTAACAGGTGTAAATAACCCTCACCTGGTTTTTATATCTGAGTAATTTATAAGCCAACAGGAACTCTTAAACAAAAGAGGATTTTGGAGAGCCACTGAGGAAAACCCATATGTGAAACTTCATTCTGTTGTAGATATATATTTTTTATTATGTCTGTGTGTAGGGGGGGGATGAATGGTTTCTCATCATATGAGGGAGGGGAGATCTACACATTTATTAGAAATGATTGAAATTTAGTAATGGACATTTTTTCAATCTTACTTATATGATGTACTTTGCGGAAGTGCCGATAAACTTGATTGTTATACATGATAAAGGCATAGATCATCGAGAAAATGCGGAAGGTATTCAACAAGGTCTTGTCTGGTGTATGAAAAGGACGAAGACATACAAAGGAAAGTAAGTAAAGTCAAGATCTTTATATGCATACCGTTTTGAATAAGTAAAATAAAGCCTAGCATAGTCTGTAGATGTTACATGTTCAAATTCGCGAGGTAAACAAACTCTGCAAATACCAAAGAGTTAACTCCCCTGCCGGGTCACTAATGCGTTTGAAAACTATATATGAGTGTTTCAAGACTTCGTTTTTAAACTAAAAAGTTCAAGGGCAAGGCGACATATGAAGAGGTAGGTTTTTGTATTAAATTGTTTATTTTACTGCATACTTTTTGAAAAGTGATGCTCATTTCTCTGTAATTCGCTAAGTAATTTATTATTTCACATGAAATGCGGAAAGTACCCTATTTTTTCAATACCGGTCTTTGTTTTTACTGAATAACTAAATAATCCCAGAAATCTAACTGAATGAGCATTATTTTTGAGATAGGATAGATATTTGGGGACACACTGAAACCTTGTGCAGTGTAATTTTTCTTTGCCTTGCCCTTGAACTTTTCGGTTAAATTTGATATTTTATATCTTGAACTAAAATAGGAGCCCACGTGACTACTAAGGGTCACATGATGACAAAAAATATCAATATTAAAAGCGAAGGACACACTCTTCAAGAAGACACAAATATATTTTCAGTAGAGTCGTATGCTAGAAAATAAGACAGTTAAACTTCAAGTGCCTTGTTTTCAGTGTCTTTTTATAAAAAATGTTGCCTTAACTGTACTGCGTAGTTCTCTTATTGCATGAGTTCATTTTGAGAAGAAACATACCCAAAATATTTACCTAACACACCAGCATGTGCATCTACAATGGAGGTTCCCACAGGGGTCCCGGCCTTCAGCCCCATTGCTATGGCTACAGAGTCACAAAGGCCACTTCCACAAGGTGTTCCAGGTGACTGAACCTTTGTCCCTGTTTATGAATGAAATACAATGATTCACAAGGGCATGCAACATACCCATTTAATATCAGGTTTTTATGGTCTACTTTTAAACTGTAATATACTTTGCCCAAGATACAAAGCCTAACTGTGTGTAAGATGATATACATGTAAGCATATGATTTAACTATTTGTAACGTACCAAAAAAATTCCCAAATTAGGTCAAAGTGACCTAATTTTGAATCTCCCTCAGATACATCAACTACCAAAGTCATTGTTATGATGCAAATTTCATCATTATATCAAGACTTAAACATACCGGGTAATATCATACACTATCAGATATTCAGACTTTATAAAACTCAACTTCTGGTAAATGCAGTGTTGCTGCTATCAATATATGGTGTATAATTACCAATTTTCTTGGCATCATCTTGTAGTAGATCCTCCAGACCTATAGTCCTATAGAAATCCTGATTCCATCCTTGAATGCCCTTATTGTCTGCATGATAAGACCACTTACAAACCAATGAACACAGGGATCTATCAGTAAAGTACAAAATATAACAATGTACATGTACTATTATTATCAGCTGCCATGGAACCAGTAGCATTTCAGCAAAGCTAATAATTATTAACAATGAGGTTTTTTAACAATTTTTGTATAGTAGCACTACACTTTGGTAAAATTATGAAGTGAAATAGCAGCAGCATATTTGAAACCTTGTTGAGCTTTCTGTGGCTTTCCAGGTGAGAAAGTCTGGAAGATCAAAGAAATGATGCGCCTTTTTCCAACTGTCTGGTAAATTCTGAAATTAGACAGACTTGCAAAAGTTAAAATAACAGTTAAACTTTAAAACCTTTTAACATTGGTACATGTATCAGTCTCAACATTACATAAATTTTAACTCAATGATCATATACAGTCAAACCTCGGTTAATTTTCTCGAAGTTAAGAAAAAAACTTCGGGATACCCAAGGCTTTTAGATAGTGAGGTTTAAATACAGAGAAAAAGAGAGGTGGGACTGCCAATCACTTTGACATATCCATGGTATTTGAGATATTGGTGTTGGAGATACCGATGTTCAACTGTAATTTCTCCTTTATCTGCATACATACGTATGCTTTTAAATCCTGTAGAATTATTCTAATTCTAATTAACTTTAAAAATTCTATTGCATCACAGGTATCTTTTGTATATACCCTCATATTTATTGATTCTTTATTTTGAGCTGTCGCAAAAAGATGCAAAAACCAATGAAAGCTTGGATTTTCATAAGGTAGACAAGTGACATATTCTCCAACTCGTATAACATCATTCTGCCAAGCACTGACCAAAAAATACAATATATTACATAAACAGTACCAAAAATTTAAATTCTAATTCAACGAGACTTACCCTGTATAATTTGATGCCAGATCATACATTAGCACTAGATTGGCTATGGAAGATTTAAGTAAATATTACTCAGTTTCATAAAAAAATAACAGGGAGTCAATGATAGCATGTCTTACAATCAAGGGGCGGGCCTTATGTCATACTGTAGTTTGCAATACTGCTTATGATCAAACCTCAAGCCCCAACATTTGCTGTTAACATGCATATATGTTTATTTCCTCAAAATTCAGGTTAACATTGGAAGCTATATTTACTAAACAGAATCTTGATATAATTCCTATCACCCTGACTGTATATATGCACATAATATACAAATATTCTCTTCCAACTTGAAGAATTTAAGTTATATTATTCTCTAAGAAAACTTCAACCATACTGAGAGATAAGAAAATAAGGCATTAAGATGACATTAATTACCTCTCACCTTTTTAAGCCACAAGAGTTTTGGTGGCTGCATCTCCAGAGACATGTGTCCACCCAGACATTTTAAGGCTTCATGCTTGGTTGAGTTTATAAACTTTGCCTCGTCCTCAGCTCGGTGATCCATCCACATGATGATGTCACAATCCTTACCAGAGTAGGAATGAATCTTCTCTAAATCTGAGGAAAGTCAATCAATCATTTAAAACACCATCATACTTCCACCTTGATTGTCAATTGTTTTTGTGTCATTAAGATTTTTTGTCACAAGGGTTAAAACCCTGCATGGACAACATTCTAAATTGCGTTGAATGGATGCATATTCAACCATCCCTGATAAATTACCTTGTCTAGTAATAAAATTGAGATATGCAGTTAAGTGTGTTTGCTGCAAGTAACAAGAGAAATTCAAGGAATGTCTTGTTCTTTCAGAAATCAATGCCTTTTTTTTCATATCTTGTCCAAACCAAGAGGCATAAAATCCACCATCACAGCTCTGCTGAAAACAGCTAGCAGCCAAAAAAAAAGCAATCATGCATTCCAAAACCCAAACAGACGTCCCTGACAAGAATGTAGCTCTTCTGGTGTGTATGTACGATAAAGAAAGAAGTACCTTAAATTTATTTGGTCTATACTACTTGTGTACCAAGTCTTCTTGAAACTGGACCAAAACTGTAGGAGGAGAAAATTACTACTTGTATACCAACCAAAACTGCAAGAGAAGTAATGTTTTGAAAGAATTTCAAAGAATCTTTTTTATTTTTAGTAACCATGGCAACACCACTTGTTGAAATTAAACTCTAACAAGATGTGTTTGTGAAACACTGATGCCTCCGTATGGCAGCTTATGGCGAAGGTTAAAGTTTCTCAAATGCAAGTCAAAATCCAGGCCAAAAGATAAAAAATGTTGGTACCCAAAGAAAGGTCTTGTCTCGAGGAATACCGTATAACGGGTATTTTCTGCGGTTGGAAATTTTTGCGATTTTACCCCAAAGAGGTAGCAAATTATTTTCTGCGTTTTCAATTTCTGCGGTTGCATAATACCGCAAAAATTTATTTATGGGGTATGATCACTAAACTTTATGAATTACCAGAACCCTGCCATGTTTAAGTTTTATAAATTCATTAAGACATATTGATTGAAGGTGCATGAGAACTGCTATTAAGCTTAATTAACAACTGTCTTTTAATTAGTCTTTGTAAAATATGTCGAGTCCCAATCGAAATGAATTAATGCAGTATCAGTCCCCCCAAACAACAATAAAAATCTTTATTCTAACAGACGTCTTATGTGATCTATTAAAATATTTAAATATATAGATAATGATAATAAATGCATCCAAGCCATATTCTTAAATACACTTATAGTTAATTACCATCAAAATTAAAATATTGTTTGTATTTTAAGCTAGAACAAACAGTTGCATAATTTAGTACCCTAAAGTTGATGGTTAACAAACACAGGTACATGTACCATGTGCATCGAGGCGTAACTAATCCTGTCAGTTGTCTGCATTGAGTGAAATTCACAAGACAATCAAGCCGCATTGTGTATACAAGCAGTAATTATTGTCTCAAGATAAAACACAAGATTGAAAAAAGTGTTTAAAAAAGGAACTAGAACTGTCTGAAAGGGACAAATACCCCCCGCTGGGTTTTTCAGAGAAGGTACCAAATCACTAATGTTTTCTAGATGTGAGAGGTGTTCACAATTTGCTTAAACATTTAGAGTGAAAATTTAATTACTCATTATATTTTTTGTAATGAATGAAATTAAGGTGCAGCCTAATAAAACATCAATACTAATAATTACAGTGTTTTTTTATTACATTGAAGAAATAGTTTGCAACTATCTGTCATCTTTGTGAGACATGACACTCTGCAAATTGATTGTTGAAAAAAAAATATCATGATAATTAATTATACAAAATCAAATTGATCTTAATACCTTTATATCAAACTCATTTTAAAAATAAAAGGCTGGTTCCAGTAACTATGTATTTTGACAGACATAAATTACAATTAAGAGACTTAGACAACAGAGATCTTTATTTCTTTCTGCCCAATTCCCAGGAGATATAGATAAGACCTGCTTGATCAGAGATGCCCTAACAGCTTCCCACACTGAACTCATTAATTAATCTTTAACTGGATGCATGTCCACTCATTACTCCCAAGGGAAAAATGGATTTACACTATCTGCTGTGTAATGTAAAAACTGTTTTTAATAGCTGGTGATGTTTTTTTTCAGTTTTAATGAGTAGTTTTAAGCTGTAGTTCACATTTTTGTACACTTCAGATGTTCTAGATTCTATGTCTCAAACCTTAGACATTTATAAACCCATAATGACTAAGTCAATAAAAATGAAAAAAAAAAACATCTGTAAAATGCAGAAAAATTATCAAATAATGTTGAAAATACCAGGTGTACATCTTCATACAGTAAATAATGAGTGTACAAATTTTCATACAAATCTATGCAATAGCCTCTGAGAACAGGTCCGGACAAAACCACACAATAAAAATGAAAAAAAAAGACCTGTAAAATGCAGAAAAATTATCCAATCATGATGAAAAAACCAGGTGCACACCTTCATATGGTGAATAATAAGTGTACAAATTTTCAGACAAATCCTTGCAATAGTTTCCAAGAAACGGCCTGGACAAATCTCGTCTACAGACAGACAGACAGACGGACAGACAGACGGACAGACAGACGGACATGGTGATTCCAATATACCCCCCCTAAACTTCGTTTGCGGGGGGTATAATAAAAATTAAAGCTATCATGTGTTGTTTGCAGCTATCGGAGTTTGGACTAATAATTGCGAAATAGGTACAAGAAAAGATACTTATTCAATTGATATTATTTACAGGAAATTTTTGATTCAATATGCTTTGAACAAATCCTGTACTGACATCTAAAATCTTCGAATTTCAATGACACCCGAATTTTCTCGCTAACGAGGACGTTTCAACTCATGAGTCCGCGGACGCATCGTTTTTAAAAACCTTGCTTTCCAAATAATTTTTATGCGTCCGGAACGCAGGTTCTTGCGTTAATGAGAACCCTTCAGACATACGCACCACTTATCATAATTGCATGTATAAAATATCTGAAGAAATATTGAAAAATATTTTGCGATTGTAATTTTTGCGGATTTGTCCTATCCGCAAAATTCCGCAAAAATTGGACAACGGCAGAAAATACCCATTATACGGTATACCTGTGAAATTTAAAAGACCTAGCTGCAACTGTTCAAAAGTTATGGCGAAGGTTAAAGTTTTTTAAAAGCAAGTAAAACGTCAAGGTCAAAGTGGTTTGTATCCAAAGGAAGGTCTTGTCACAAGGATTACATGTGTGAAGTATGAAAGCCCTAGCACCAACCATTTAAAAGTTATAACCAATGTTTAAGTTTTTCGAAAGTAGGTCAAACTCCCATGTCAAGGTCAAAGTGGTTGGTATCCAAAGGAAGGTCTTGTCACATGGATTACATATGTGAAGTATGAAAGCCCTAGCATCAACCATTCAAAAGTTATGGCCAAGGTTAAAGTTTTTCAAAAGTAGGTCAAACTCCCATGTCAAGGTCAAAGGGTCAAAGTGGTTGGTATCCAAAGGAAGGTGATGTCACAAGGATTACATATGTGAAGTATGAAAGCCCAAGCACCAACCACTCAAAAGTTATGGCCAAGGTTAAAGTTTTTCAAAAGTAGGTCAAACTCCTAGGTCAAGGTCAAAAGGTCACAGTGGTTGGTATCCAAAGGAAGGTGATGTCACAAGGAATACATATGTGAAGTTTGAAACCCCAAGCACCAACCGTTCAAAAGTTATGGCCAAGGTTAAAGTTTTTCAAAAGTAGGTCAAACTCCAAGGTCAAGGTCAAAAGGTCAAAGTGGTTGGTATCCAAAGGAAGGTGATGTCACAAGGAATACACAAGTGAAGTTTTAAACCCCAAGCACCAACTGTTCAGAATTTATGGCCAAGGTTAACGTCTCATAAAATTTTGCAAAAGTGGGTCAAACTCCAAGGTCAAGGTCAAAAAGTCAAATATGATGGTACCAAAAGAAAGGTCTTGTCACAAGGAATACACATATGAAATATGAAAGTCATAGCTCCAACCAATAAAAAGTTATGGGCAAGGTTAAAGTTGACAACAGACAGACAGACAAACAGACAAACGGACAAACAGACAGACAAACAGACAGACAGGACAAAAACAATATCTTTCGATCCAGGGGCATAAAAATTGTTTATGGACGGACAGAGGGACACTCAGTGAGACAGATGGATGGACAGACAGATGGATGATAGACACTTTATTAATGCATAAGCTCTTCTGGTCTCTGGCCAGTAGAGCTAAAAAGGAAAAAAATAATAGGGGAAGGCATTATTATGCTGAGGGATCCTTAGACTACATTTAATTTTCAACTGTGTATACCTTTTGGACAAACTGAAACAGGCTCTCCCTCCTTATCAAGAACTACTAGAGAACATGTCGCATCAAACCCAATACCATGAATGAAGTTTTTGGACACCCCTGATTGATCCACCACTGTCTATGTAGAAAACAGATCATTGTTTCATTCTTACATTAATACAGTTCACATAATATGGAATACTTTAAACATAGGTAATCAGAGATTACAGAGCTCACCTCAACAAATGTTGTCTTTAAGTAAGGCAAAGTCCCACACTAAACTAATAATCTAGGAGTGTGCATCCCTAGATGCAACATTTATGCTATTTTGGTCTGATAGGGCTTGCAGTTACTTGGGAATAGACTTATCTGAAAACTTAAAACTAGTCACTCATCCAGAAAATGTAAGTCAAATCCAGATCCGGCATCCGAAGCAAGTCCAGTGAGTAGTGTGCATCCTTAGATGTATCATCCATGCAAGTTTGGTCAATATAGGGCTTATAGTTACTTGGAAATGAGATCTGCTCCAAAAACCTTAACCTGGTCACTCATCCGGAAAATATAGGTCAGATCCAGCATCTGAAGCAAGTCCAGTAGTGTGCATCCTTAGATGTATCATCCATGCAAGTTTGGTCAATATAGGGCTTATAGTTACTTGGAAATGAGATCTGCTCCAAAAACCTTAACCTGGTCACTCATCCGGAAAATATAGGTCAGATCCAGCATCTGAAGCAAGTCCAGTAATGTGCATCTTTAGATGTATCATCCATGCAAGTTTGGTCAATATAGGGCTTATAGTTACTTGGAAATGAGATCTGCTCCAAAAACCTTAACCTGGTCACTCATCCGGAAAATATAGGTCAGATGCAGCATCCGAAGCAAGTCCAGTAGTGTGCATCCTTAGATGTATCATCATGCAAGTTTGGTCAATATAGGGCTTATAGTTACTTGGAAATGAGATCTGCTCCAAAAACCTTAACCTGGTCACTCATCAGGAAAATATACGTCAGATGCAGCATCCAAAGCAAGTCCAGTAGTGTGCATCCTTAGATGTATCATCCATGCAAGTTTGGTCAATATAGGGCTTATAGTTACTTGGAAATGAGACCTGCTCCAAAAACTTTAACCTGCTCCAAAAACTTTAACCTGCTCCAAAAACATTAACCTGGTCATTCTTTAGCTGAAATTGCAGCATCTGAAACCTTGACTGATACAATAAAGCACACTAGAAGCATCCTCCATGCATCTCTGACTAATATAGGCCATAGAAGTACTTGAAAAGAAAACTGGTCCAAAAACCTTAACCTGGGACGCCGATGCCGAGGGTATTACATAAGCTCCCCCAACTTCGTTGAGGTGAGCTAAAAACTAGATATGTCAGGGCAGGGCTCTAATTGGCGACTAATTTAGTCGCCATGGCGCCTAAAATTTTTCCATAAGTCGCCAAATTGGCGACCATTTTAAATTGACTTGGCGATCGTCGAATTCCGGAAAATTTCACATTTTTAACAATTTTTCTGAAAAAGAATTTTTAAAGAAGAGGAAATTATTTTTAGCAATGGACATGTCATGTTTTCTTAGGCACATCATGGGTTCCTATATTCTATTAGCATTTAAAGTTGTTGCCTTAGAAAAATTGCCTGGCATCTAAAAATTTGCAATGGCGACTAAATTTTTTTGATAAGGCGCCTAAATTTTAGAGGCCACTTAGAGGCCTGTGTCAGGGTGACAAAAATTCAGAAACTAAGTACTTTGGTTCATATATGCAAAATATCTCATATCAATTAGTAGTGTGCACATTATCATACAGTTTTTGTGTTTGATATTTGCACAAATGTAACAAGATACTCAAAAAGAATACTTTTTATTTTGAACTATAAAAAATTGCTGTATCTAATGCACCCAGTATAACCAATCTGGGGTATTACCGGTAGTTATTTCAATTTTGTACTTAATGGTTTACACACTTTTTTTCATCCATAATCAAAAGTAGCTGTAGAAGTTACCCCAACCAACATGACCAAAAATGTCCAATAATAAATATATTTCTATGTAAAAATTTAGAAACCAATTAATGCAACATTCCATTTGGTCAATGGATTAAGGTCAGATGACACGTTCCTCAATAATATGTATTTTTTTCCAAGAATTTGTCATTGAAGTATTGCTACTTTAACAAGTTTCCTCACAAAAAAATTGAGGTACCTTACCAGGCATTTTTGCAAGATCCCAGAGGATGCTATTTACTATAGAACCCTACTGGAAATCACTAGTATTGTCAATATCACAATTTTTTGGTGTCCTTGACTACTTCAACATTTTGAAAACAGTTTAAAATCACAAGTCAATGATAATTATGATTAATTTGTTGTATTTTACGAAGAGATACAAAACAGATATTCAAGCATCGTGTCGTCAGACCTTAAGACAAATAATTTCTACACAACATAATATTTTATATTTTCTTTTTAATTTTCTTCTATAATCAGACACAATACCCTGACAGCTTGAATCACCGCCCTCCAGATGTTTTCTGATGACTGAAGATAAAAGTTGGCAGCTGGTTCCCATATCTTAATCTTCTCGGTGGATTTGGCTACAATTTTGCCATTTTGTTTCACAACTGCGGCTCTGACACTGCTAGTGCCAACATCAACACCGATGTAGTGAGGGACATTCATCGCTCTTTTTCACCTATTTCACCTTAAAAAGATTTAAAATATTATTTTAGAAACAAAAAGAAACAGACTATTATTCAATTTGATTACAAATTTTAAAAAAAAATACTGCAATACTTAATTAGCATGTTACTCAAAATTCAGTGTAATCGATAATTATTTGCAGATATCCTCAACTGCTTACTCAAATTCAATCATAAATTAGTGCATTTGAGTTTTTTAAAAACATTATTAGTTTTAATCATGCAAGCGTTTATATAAATCAGTGGACAAGAAGCAGCACAAAGGTTCTAAAATATATTAACGCTAAATTAAGTATGTTCACTCTGTTTCAGAAAAATGAACCAATCAAAACTTTAATTGAAAAAGATTTCGCAATACTGATGCCTAGATCTCCTCATATTGTAAATGCTAACAGAAAACCATGAAATTGTGATAATTATTTCTTGCAATTGAACCTTCTAATTTTCTAGGTAATGATGATATCCAACGTGGCTCTCTCAGCAATGCTCAGATACATGTACTCATGATATTGCATTCAAAATGCACTTGATGATATAATCGAGAATCACCACGACTTAAAATAAAAATCAAACATCGATACAAAGTGTCAGTAACGCATGTGCCTAGTGTGTGTGTAATGGAGAAAAAAATCATCGTGATCCGAGTCGTGTCTTGCCTACTTTCACTTTTACTTCTGACTGACGATATGGTGCCAACATCTACGGAATGAATTTTTATAAATACGTGTGTATCGACTTCAGAATTAAATTTCAAAAACTTCTAGCAATAATGTGAAACGTTTTAAAGTTTAATCGCCTTGCCAAGCTTGCAAAAAATTAATAATTCATACTTAAAAAGGATCCTATAATTTCCCGAAATCATCCGAGTATGCCATTCGGAATATTCTGCTTTAGGGTCCTTCTCAAAATATGAAAATGAAATGATTAACAGAAACAATCCTAATAAATCTGTTCTACAATTATGTAATTAATTCTTGACTAATTCTTAAAATATTCTATATCAGTTTTTAAATTTTGTTTTTACAATAATAATTGATATCTTGCATGAAGAATACTTCCGGAGCATAAACCGGGATTCACTCTAAAAGTATACAACCAATATTACCCACAAGTCTTTGCGCTTGCTTGGTAACAGTGACACAAAACGAGAAGGAGGGAAAGTGTTGTCTTTATCTTGGCAATGTAGGGTATATTTGTGATTTAAATATTGTAGTAACATTGTAGAACTTTTAAGAACAAATACTGCCATTCAACAAATCATCAGAAAATGAGTTTCCAAGAGATCAAGAACGAACCACGACAAGATTGGCAGCAGACATCCACAGGGGTTGGTCACCATTATCGACCAGGCTATTATTTCCCTAATTCTGATTTCAAGGTATGTGTTTAATTAAATTTTGTTATGAAATGCATGGGTTATGAAGTTATTCTTTATTTCCAGGGGGTGTATAGTATGTACACTGTATGGTCATGCAAATGATACATGTAGATTTCAGTAATATGCCACAGTATTAAAATATGTTACAGTGGTTATTAAAATTTGTATATTCAATGAATAATGTATAAGACAATGGATTATTTTAAATAAATTTTCATGCCTAATTAGGCATTACAATAATGCAAAGGTGTAAACAAAATAAAACATCAAAGACTGAGACATACAAAACATGTATTTTATTCCATGAATATTATACATGTACTTGTTAAAGCTGTATGATCTTCTTTTTGATCTCAGAAAATTATGAATTACCACCATCATTCATTTACAGTGTAAAGTTTCTCTTTCCAAAAATTACACACTCTAGTTTGCATCTGTTCTAGAGAAAAAGAAATTGGAAGGTTAAAAAAAATTATTATTGTGGTTCCACAATAAATACAGTGATTGCTGATAATGCACATGCACAGAAAATAGTTTTGCTTCAATCATAAACATGAGATTTCGGATCATTTCATGAGTGCATATTAGGAGTTGTGGAAAATTGGTTTTTTTGATGGAATTGGGACATAAGAGAAGAAGAGCAGAAGTCAAACAGTCTACTTATTCTCTAACTGAATAAACAAAATTATTGAACATGACATGAGGTAAACAGGTGGTTAAACTATGAAATTCTACCCAGTAAATAAACTCACAATTTACCTTGTCATATTTTCGAAAGGTCACATGATCGTTCTCCAAAGAACTTTATGCTGAATATTCATGAGTTTATGTTTATAATCAAAGAATTATTTCTTTAATTACAATTTACATACAAGACATAGGATAAATGGAAAGGATATTTTTGACATTTGGACAGATGATAAACAGGCATAAATGATAATATCCATGGGTAAAACATACTTAACACTTGTGAACCATACAGTTTTAACTCTTTTGTCTAAGGCATAATTATATTTGAACAAGAATCTGTAAGTTGAGGAATTCTTCAAATACAGTCAATCAATATGATAATTCTATAATAATATGAAAGATATATCTGAATTCAAAATTATATTGCAACATATATTATATCATATTATAATATACATTTCAACATAATCTTCTAATGTTGTAGACCTTGATATATGATCCAGTCCCTCCTCCTCTGGCAAAGCAGGATGAAATCACGAGAGATCAGCACTTCAAAACAACATATGGGGATTTCCATGATACTAAATATGGAAAGGGTGCTTATGGCAATCCTATCCACCAGAAGGCCCCTGGACATTGGAAAGTAAATTATGTCAAGGATCTTGCAGAAAAAGTGAGCATACATACCCTTATTAAATGTTAGAATGACTGGCACTTTTATTGTCATTTGAAAATTAATTGCAATCCTGTGTCCTGAGAAATTTTGTCAGATGCTAATCATGCCATTAAACTACATTAGAAACCAATTTGCTTGGAAAACAACTAACAGTCAATCAATTTGCTTGTTTTAAGTTTGATTAAAATCATTTTGATCTTTCCACTGTACACTTGTATGATGTATAAATAAGTCAAGCTTCAGATTTGATAATTGAGGATCAAATAGATAAAATTTTCATATACATATAATTCATGTACACATTACTGAATGACGTTTTTTTTTTTCTTTATCAGCTTGATAAAGGAGGATGGAGAAAACCACTCACAATGGGAAATCAGTTAACTGAGACAAAAGAGGAATTCTCCAACAAGTCAGGGGTCAGACAAAATTATCATTTCCAAGATGCTGCAGGTCTCAACTTACCACAGCCCTACAATCTACATGATCACCACGTTGAAGGACCATCCAAAGTATGTACTACTTTCCTTTTATTTCACTGTGAGGTTTTGAGCCTCTCTGTTTCATTTTTTGTAAAAATGCTGTGGCCATTACCTTCAATCTTTTTCTGATATTTTTTCAAAATAGCTATTTTTGTAACTTTTTTTCACAGTATGGACAAGGTACAACACAGAATCCAAAACTTCAGGGCCAGCCATTCTATGTCAGGGACAAAGGAGTTCTAAATTTATTAGATCCTTATCTATCTACCACACAGAAAGATCACAGGTCATTTAAACCTAATGAACTTAAAAAATATCCAAAGAAGGATGTAGCTACATACTGGGAATGTGAGGAATATCCTAAGGCCTGGGGTCATGGTCTTAAACACAAGTAAGTGTAACTTGTCTACCTGGGGCCTATTTTACAAAAGAACTTATGACGACTTAGATTATAAACTTAAATATTTGTTAATTACAAAATCTTACAAAATAAATGATTCTGTTAAAAATTGCATGCATAAATATTTCTTTTTAATTTTTTTTTTTAAAAGATTGAAACTATTTTCAAATTAAGGGAGCCGACTGGGGTTTTATTGTGTGAAAACTACTATAGAGAAACTCTTTAATTTTATACCATATGTACCTTACATTGACTTCAGTACACATGCCAAGTTTGGTGAAAATCTACCGTCTGGTTATTTTCTAGGGACCATCTCAAATTACAGGTGCATTTACTATAGGATTATATAGGAAAATACCATTTTTTCGCACTTCAGAGCAATTAAATTATACAAATGCTACTATAGACTTTTTGCTCAAATTATATTAATTGATAGGTAATACTATATTGTACATTTTATGCAAGAAACACAAAATTCTACTGTCTGGTTTCCAGAGGGGACATCTCAAAATGTCAAAATTCATGATATTTTCCTGTTTTTATGGAGTACAACAAAACATGACAGATACCACAGATTTACATAAAAAAATAATCAAAATGATTGTGAGATTCTCAATTTCCTATATTAAAATTTCAAGAGCCTATATTTTATACTTTTTATTTTATGGCATAATTAATGACCCCGCTTAAAGAACTTCAGTTATTCATTACGTCAAAAACACACTATTGCGACGTCTATCTATCCATCATTTGAAAAATCGTTAAAAAAAAATCGGTTATTTAAAAACGTTATTAGATTTTTTAACCTGGGATTTCCTAAAAATGTTAATTTTTTTATAAATTATGTAAAAATAGTTGCTTTAAAATTGTAAATACGCTTTATTTTACTATGCTGCGCGAAGTATTGCGCAATGAAAACCCCAGTCGGCCCCCTTAATGTAAAAAAAAGAAAGTTATTTCCAAAATTAAATTTTGATCTTAGTCGTAAGTTCTTTTGTAAAACAGGGCCCAGCAGTATCTGAATTTGATAATATTGCAGTGAAACAACAATGGCAAGAAATAGTATTTTGTTTAATAATATTGAAAAATGTGTCTCAAAATTGACCCTTACTTATTCCTGACAGAAGATGTAGCCTTTCTTTTAACAACCCCACCTTAGTCAGATTCCCCTTTATGAAGGGGAAATTTATGCGCCAGTTTAGTTGCAATTGATCAATACATAAAAAGTTACAATCACAGTGTAATAGATAAATAGCAGTGTTTGGCCAGAAAAATTTACATGATTTGACTCTCCTGAGTTAAAAGGCTTAACAAAAATTTATATAAACATGAATGGCAGAGAAAAAAATTAATCTGGCATATTGATTTAATATTTCGTAAGATAAACCTCTAATCAGTTAACATGGTAGAAGTAAGGACATTTTGTTTCATAATTATAGTCCAGTTCCCAAAGACAATGTTCCCAGGGAGCGGTTACCAATGGTGGACCCTACATGGTTTAAAACTCGGACCACCATACCCAGACAGCCAAAGGCACTGTTACCTGTCCCTCATGGAGGCCTGAAGTCCCTGTATGCTGACTCCTTCCAACAGCCCTCAGATGTCAAGGCCAAGGAGAACTACTACTGCGCTGTTGACACACCTTTTGTCCTTCCAGGTTTGTTGATATTTCCTTATGTCATTAATGTACAGACAAAATAATATCCAAGCTACTGTTACAGGTGGTGAAAAATCAGTTCTCAATGGAGACTTGAACTCGGGGCTTCTGGCTTACCATACCAGCGCTCTAACCATGGAGGCCCAGTATACTGACTGACTTTCACACACCTGTGGACCCAGCGACATACCCCCTCTCTAGTTAGAAATTCATCCTGCATTTCTATAAGTTAAGGAAATGCTGTAAAACATGCATGTTCCAAGAGAATACTCAGAATAGTGGGTATTTGTGCGTTGGGCACCAAAATGTCACAGGTGGTGAAAAATGAAGTTTCAACCGGGACTCAAACTCAATGCCTCTGGCATGTCTAACCACGGAGCTATTGAGTCAGTATTCACATACCTGTGAACCTGGAAACACTACAATTTTATGAACAATATGTATTAAATATGTCAGTATACTTAGTAATTGGTAATTGTTTTCCTCATTCATATGCTCTGTTATGGTAAACGTTTGCTTTTGTTTAAATTTTAACCTTTTTGTTCCTGTCTTTGACTGACAAATTTAAAGTTGAGCAAATATAGCAACAGAAATTTACTTACACAGTAGAATGGACACGCATTTAAATGATAAAGGTTTTTAGTGTGTTCATTCTTAGAACACTTTTTTGTTCCATGATTGTAATCATTTATAAGTATTGTTAAGACAGTATTGATATATATATACATGAGTATTTTGTTGCAGCCCCAGGAACAAAGTCTGTGATGACCGCCCCAAAAATGTACAACACTGAATACCAGCACGTAGGAAGTAAAAAACCAGTCATTGTATAAAGCCACAGAGGAAAATAACTTTACAGAAGTCATATTTTAAACATTATCACCAATCTTGGTTCCATAACACAACCAGTTTCAGACTTTCAATAACTTAATGTCACATGAGAAACTCATGAAGATTATATCCATATGGATGGAACATTTGGAAATTAGGTGTATCATATTTTTTTTTAAAAATTGTTAAATATATTTTTGTTATTGTAAAATTTTAGTACTTTAATGTCTTTCTTACATATTGGTACATTATATGTATAACACATATTATTGTGATGTTTGTTACAAAGGCTGTGATAATTTTAGTAATTTTTATCTGAGTTTTAAATGTGTGCGTAATACAGTATGCTTTGTATACTGACATCACAAATCATTAAACGTAAGGACATTCTAAGTTTGTTTTATTCATTGAGTCAAGGGCTGAAACTGTTACTTTGATCTCTTCACAATATGATGAGTTGCCGCAAGATAATGAGTAAAAGTTCTGGAGGTAGGCCTATGCGAGGAATTTCTTCAATGAATTGAAGTAGAAAGGAAGTCATTTGTACTTTTTTGTCATAATCCTTCTTTGCAATATACATGTATCTCAAAAAGGTGTGACCACATTTCAATAAAATTCTGAGAAAGTCAGTTTCATGTAAACAAAGAATGGAAGAATTAATTTGAATTGAAGTGGACTATACAAATGGAGGTTAAGACAAGTCCCTCACTCTGAGAAAAGACATTTTTCAATTCCTACAAGTTCATGAAAAGTTATATTTTTCAAAAAATTTGGTCATTTCATCTTTTACACATTTGCTTCCTTTATTTATTTTTTTTTTAATAACTTATTGATAAATAATTCATTTTCACTAATGCTTTTAAGGCATGTGAAAATAAAAACAAGAGGCCCATGGGCCACATCACTCACTTGAGCACTTTGGCTTGGAAAAAGCAGAAATCATTTCAGTATTGAAAAAGTTTAAATATAAAAGTGGGGGGGGGGGGGGTCTGAACAAACTTGATACTTCCATATTTCTTTGATTAATCATGGCTTGAGAAGATTTTTCAAAAAAAAATTCCTATACATTTGATCTTCTATTGTGGCCTTGCCCTACCCCTGGGGAAATGAGTTGAACACTCTTGAATCTACACTACCTGAAGATACTTCTGAATTCATATGACAAATCATGGCCTTGCTATTATTAAGAAGAATATTTTCATTGATATATCCTTTATATTCCTTTGTATAACTTTGATTACCCATTGTGGCTCCACCCTACCCCTGGGGGTCATGGTTTGAATAAACTTGATTCTAAACTAATTAAGGATGCTTCCATATAAATATAACCAATCATGGCTTAGCTGTTCTTGAGAAGAAGATTTTTAAAGATCTTTTCCTATGTAAAACTTTGATCAACCACTGTGGCCCCACCCACCCCAGGGGGTCATGATTTGAACAAAATTCAATCTAACCTAATTGAGGATGATTCCACATAAGTTTCATATTTTCTAATCCAGTGGTTCTTGAGGAGAAGATTTTTAAACAATGCCATTAATTTTTTCACTAATTCATAATTATCACCCCCTTGAAGGAGGCGTGGCCCTTCATTTGAAAAAAAAAAAAACTTGAATCCCCTTCTCAGTTCTGGAGAAGAAGATGAAATTGTGAAAAATTTACGACAACAACAACGACAGACAGCGGACAAATTTCGATCAGAAAAGCTCACTTGAGCCTTCTGTTCAGATGAGCTAAAAAAGCTTCACACATGATTCAAACACTCCAAAGCTCACGGTTTGGCATAAGAATGAACTTGTGCTAAGTTTTCTTGCCATTGAGGTGTCAGTGTGCTTTAAATAAAAAAAATTTGTTAAAACAAATATTTTTCCCAAAAATGGCCTATTTTCATATCGAATGGATTCAGAATCCTTTTTTTTTTAAAAAAACAAAAAAAAAAAAACATAAAATAGATATTACCTTTACTTTTCCGTCATTTAAACCTTAGTGTAGAATGGACACTTGACCCATTCATATTAAAAAAAAAATAAAAATAAACAAAAATTATGGCTCTAATGTACCCATTTTCCACTAAATATGCTTATAAAACTATCATCTTTAAAAACAATTATCAATAAGTCGTTCAGTAAAATTTAAAAAAAAAACTGTTGAAGATGACATTACTGATAAAATAATTTTAGAAAAATACAACTTTTCCAGTGAACTTTGAAAGTTGAGAAATATATTTTCTCTGAGCGGAGGTTTGTCCTCGCCCTGTACGCGCTCTTTCTTTCCTTATATATAGACAAACATCAAAGTCTCAGGTATACCATAAAACTGGAAAAGTTTCTTAAATATTACTAATATAACAATTTTTGGTCACCAAAAATACTGCTTTAATTGGAAAGGTTTCTTAAATATTTATATAACAATTTTTGGTCACCAGAAATACTGCTTCGCATAATTCAGATGAGATCAAGTACAGTTGAAATTATATGACACGTAAATGTAGTTGCAATGAGTGAATCATTTTCAAAAACATTTTCCCATAATACATTGCTTAAATTATATTTATTTTTATTCAATATACATACCTAAACTACGGAAGCCGGTAGATGCCAGGTAGATAAATATTTTATCTGGCGGCCGCCAGATAAATAGATCTGCCAGATCTTTTTACCTGGCGGCCGCCAGATATTTATCTGGCGGCCGCCAGAAACTTATCTGGCGGCCGCCAGATAAAATATTTTTTCTACCTGGCACCAACCGGCTTCTGTACTAAACTCATGTTTATAAACTCTGTATTACTTTCAACAATATCTTACTTAAAAATAAATATTAAAAATGGTATTGAACTGACGACTTTTATTTATATGTATTGCATGCACATCCTTTTTACTGGTACAATATATTCTGATTTCCCGATTTGGCTAAAATGAAAGGTTTCCTGTCAAGAAATTTCACAACGTCAGTGAAGCATTCCAGAGCTTAGAGTACTGATAAAAATAGATCGTAGAGAGCGATACATAAGTGATAGGCCGCTGCATTCCCATTGGTTGGACAGGCTTCCAGAGACTTCATAAACCATTTAATGGCATTTTGTACATCATTGATGATACGGTAACAATATCCCATGATATTGTAATGCCGATGTAGTTCTACAGGCATTCCACTCGAACACTCTTCCCCATTTTCAACATATAACACCATCGACTTTAAATGTTCAATTGCTAGAGATAATTGTTCTGTATCTCTTAAGTTGAATGCAACCTGAAACTGCACATAACAGACATACACAAGTGGATTAACTGAACAAAAGCACCAATTGGATCTCCCTTCCAAAAGAGCACATTCGTATTGTAAAGCAGGGGGCACACAAGATATATCAGAGCAACTGAAAATAAAATCAAAAGCAACATCGTTTTCATTTGCCATGTCTTCTACTGTTACAGTTTCATCCATATCCGGTGAAAGCAATGAACGTTTCCCGCAAATAAATAATCCAGGCGTTCCTTTGTATGGAATAGCTGCACGTCTGCCAAAGATGTCTTTGAGAAATTTTTGAATAACACTATAGTTCCTTGCTTGATAGTGATACGTTAATAAATACATGGTTGCTGCAAGAACATCGTGTTGTAATCCTGCCTCCAAGCACCGCTTTGACTCAGAGATGAGCTTACGTCGCATTTCTAGATCCACGGTGTTCTTAGCGTCCACAAGAAAGAGCATTCCAACACGAATGGATAAGAACTTTAAAGCAAAATCACCCATCAATGTCTTCAGCTGTTCATCCACTTCTTCAGCAACCTTCAGTAAACTTTCCACAGTCGTCTGCAAAAACATAATTCCTACTGTAACCTCCATACTGAGACATCGGGCATGGGTATATTTGTTACGTCGCAATTTCCTGTTCCCAGTTTCCATAATAGCTTTGCAGGCTGCAAGAAAGTCCACCTTTGGTGCTTCTTGTGCAAACAACCGCAGTGATAATAGATATTCACTACCACTTTTATACCACCATTCACAGTTAATAAAATAGTCAATGATATTCTCTCGTATTAGTTCAATTTCCGAGATGAGACGGTCCCTCACCATTTCATCCTCTAGTTTGCCCATGAAGAGATTTCGAGATCTCAGAAAATAATGTGACAAATGCCTCTGCTGGATACATTTGATCAAAAAAGACAAGCAAGCTTTCACGCAGTTTGTTAAATTTGATGGATCCCAGTCAGGGATTTCTTCAGACATCCAAAAAACAATGGTTTTCAAATGAAACGAATTTATTTCATCAGAAATAATTTTATCTAGAATCTCTTTCTTCAGTGTTTTGAAAATAACATAGCACTGAATTTGGACATCGCTGAAATTCCAGATAAGCTCTCGCTCTGGCAAGATGAAAGCAAACCGCCATTCTAAATGGCACTTCTCGGACTGAACACAACCCACCGGTAAAGCATGACAGGGCATACCTTTGATTTTGTTGATGAGCAGTTGGTTAGGCCAGTTAGATTTTCTTTTTCTGGATATCCACTCCAATGAATCCTTGGGCCATGAGGAACATTTCAAACCAATACCAATGTCTGAATCCTTTTCATATTTGGAGTAACTCAGCATGACACATGGACCGTGACGCAGTGAATCCCCGGCGTGGAAGGAAGGTGGAGAATACTTATCCATTCCTGCTATCATATTCATAACGTATTTGATGTAAGTCTCACTTGACAAATAAAGAACATCGTTTGATTGGATGCAGGCTTCTACACATGATCTAGTTTCATGCCTAATCTCATTCCGAGAAAGTTTATAAGGATTCAATAAAGTAAATCCTGGTGGACAATTGTTTGTGTTCATAATGAGCACATTTCCCGCCATGCTGACGTCACAGTCTACTGAGGTGACTACTTCTGTGTCTTTGACTTGTAACATTTGGTCTTCATCACTTCCTGATGATGCAGAGCAGTCAATTCTGCTTCCGGTTACAATGGTGTCTACATTGTGGACATGTCTAATTATGCATTCGCAAATAAATGCCCACTGTCTGTACATATTCAGTTCCTCATTGGTCACGTGATCAGAGGTAAGAATGGCCGACATTGAGCTAGAGGAACTGGGACTGTCTTTTATGTTGTACTGGTTGATAATTTCTGATGAAACTGACCGCCTGGTATAGCCATCTTGTTTTTCATTGGTTCTTCTGTAGATTACTTCAAAAGACATTTTGTTTTTCTGTAGAAATACTGAAATACCTGGACAAAAAATGAAAATGGATATTATGTGTATTCATTAACAATCTGCGAAGATGACAAATGCACTAAAATATCAGAAGATAATTCAGAATTTATATAATTTATACAAGTAAAATGTATGTAAACATAATCAAAAATAAAATACCAGGTTTTATGTTTTCTTTCTCAGATGAACACTTTAAAGTGAGATAAGTGTGAGTTAACAGACCCAAAATAAGCTAGTCAAAATCGGGGGGGGGGGGGATACACATGTCTATAGAGGCACTTATAACACAAACCTTTAATTTTGAATAAATATTACAATTATGTGCTTTAGTTTGATTCTTCTTTAATACTCTATACATTACAATACTGCAATGGGGACAAAAACTTGACAAAAATTTACAAAATAATTCATTTATAGATCAGTACAACTTCACAGTTGTAGAATTAGATTTTGCTTGAAAAATTCTTCAATGAACAGTTAATAATAAATATTCTATAACTTGTAAAGAAAAGATCGTTGTCGTTTGTTTACATTGTTTACGCATATGTACCATACGGATGAAAATATATATACTTTTTTTAAAATAATGAAGATATTATTCGTAACTTCTTTGTCCAGTTTACTTAATTTAAATATTTTTATTATTTTAAAGACACTTTGTCTGATCTATTATAATTAAGTTATACGATCAACAAGAACAACAAGTCACATTTCCCATCAATGATTGTCATATTATAACCCCCTATTCTAAAGATCTCTATTCTCTTTATCTCTCTTTTGGTGGTGATGGGGGGGGGGCGGGGGGCAGCAATGCTTCTTTTAATATATAAAGGGAACAGATGGTGCATAAAACATTCATTTTTATTAATAACTGCATGTGCATAATTTCATGTTGTGACATTGACCTTGCTGATATATTTACTTGCTGTAGAAACGTAGCTTGTCCAGTTAACAACCCCATCCCATATTTTATATTTAATCGTGATTGGCCCTTCCTTCAGGTAATTATTATGCTAGAGAAGCAAATTTTCACCAGTCAAAATTCCAAAAATCCGTTTGTCACTGGACAAGTGACATTGTCTCAATGAGGTGTCAAAAGATGATGTTACTGTGATGGACTCTTTATCATATAGGAAACCTCACACTAAATCTCTCTATACTTCTGTGAGACCCCAGGTTCACTTCAGGAAGTTTCTTTTTCATATCGGGGGGGGGGGGGGGGGGGTTAGACTGTTTAGATGGAGGGGGTAGTTTGGCAGTATACTTAGATGGAGGGGGTAGTTTGACAGTATACTGAGCTGGATAGGTAATATATAACAAAAAATATCTTGCGAGAAACTGAAACATCCTCCCTGTCAAGAGAATAAATTCCTATTTCATGGAAGTGAACTTCAAGTTCCAACCTATACCTTACCATATCCGTGGTGGACAGGGTGGGGACGTCACATATACAAATCAATAAATCTATTTATCTTTTACAAGTAACATTAAATTTCGGAAAGGGCGTCTCCTTTCCAGTGCCCGGCCCTGGCTCCTGGGTTAGAACTGTACTGTACGTTATAAAATATTCGACTTCTTTGCCTGTTAGACTTGGAAAGGGTTTAAATTTATTATGGCGTTACTTGTTCAGATCAATACAATTCACCAAATGCATATTTCAGATAGCTGACGATTGAAACATTTTTATATATTCCATAATGCATACAAAAAAGGTATACAAACCTCTTCAGTTTATTTTTTCTGGTCAGTCCTTTCTAGAATGTGTTTGATTAAATTCGAAACAGAAAAACCTAGTTTCACTTTGCAGATCTGTTGAAGCAGATCGTGACAAAATAATTGATATGTAAATCAATAGAGTGGGTACTTTAATAGCCTTTTAAAGCTGTACTTGGCGCGGTATTAAACAAGATTATAAAAAAGAGTATATTTTTAAACTAAAAGAATATGTTTGTACTCATAATCCACTTATTTTCTGGTTGGATATAAAAAGAGCCAAATAAAAATAAGAACCGGAAAGAGGCTTAATGAAAATAGTATAAATTCTAAAAAGTTTGCTTTTTATGTTGAAATTTTCTCTCCCGGAAGACTTTTTCTTTTAATTCTTCTGACTATAAAAAATATTTTATACATTATTTTAGGTTGGACTTTCCATTCTGCATATTGAAACCATACCTACAGCTATCCCTATCAACAATATCATGCAAAGGCTGAAAGGAGTTTAGAATGTAGCATGTATTTTGCTAGGCTATTGCCGGGTCATTACAGTCGTCAGGTAACAACTTGAACATGAATAAACAATGTTGACTCTCTCACTGGTTGGGCCATTTTAAGCGAAAATGCATGATATGTTATGCATTGATAACCTTGTGTGAAATTGAGTATTTTGCCTATCAGACATAAAAATAACATTCCAGAACAAGCCCCCCCCCCCCAAAGCTACTAAAACGGAACAGAAATTCTTTTATTGCAAAACGCAGAAACAACTGTAGATTTACAGCCATGATTCCTACATTTAGTGCACCCTATTTGCTTTTAAATATTGGTTATATACATGTACATGTTATGTTAATTAAAGAGTCGAAGATAGCCACTTTATTTGTAATCGGTAAATGAAAGTGCATATTTGGTATCACATTAAAGTACAAGTAATAAGAAGAAAAAAGTACTAGATTTTTATAACAAGATATGGTTGTCTAGTAATACAGAGGAAGAAAAATGGAAGAAAGGGTATAAGAAATACGTTTTTATTGGTGTATGATTAATTTGTTTGTTGTTTAAAGTCCCTCTCGATAATTTTTCACTCATATGGAGACGTCACCACTTGCCGGTGGAAGGCTACAAATTTAGATCTGTACTCGGCACTAAGGGATATTGAGCAGTGAGGGATCTTTTTCGTGCCAGCACCTACTGCGACATAGGACCTCGATTTATACGGTCTCATCCAAAGGGCCGCCCTCGTCCCGCAGTGAATTAGAACCCGTAACGTAAGATAGACGCTCTAACCACTGAAAAACGCGGGCAACGTGTATGATTAGTAATCTATTAAATGTTAACTTATATCTAGAAAGTATCTAAGAAGAATTCTTATAACAATTCGGGTACCGTTAATTTTATTGGCTGGAGAATCAAACTTGTTTGTTGTTCACCTATCGCATTTTAGTGGGACCGAAATTAGTCTTTTAAATGAAATGTGAAAAACTTAATACTTGCTGGATTTTTATTTCATCCCAACTCTAGGCTTGGTGGTAGATGGATGAAGATGTTAACGTTATTTAATACATGCAGCTATCTTAACTTCCTAATTATCTATCATTCCTTGTATTACCGATTATGTAGTTACAGTTACTTATGTAAAGGAGAAAGGCCTCAAACTGTCCATTCTGTGAGAGAAAGAACTAATCAAGGGTCTACGGCCCTCGATTAGTTCTTTCTGTCACAGAATGGACAGTTTGAGGCCTTTCTCCTACTTAAAACATGATTTACTTTGTTCTGGAATTAAATAAAAAATTACAAAACTGGTATCAGATATGACAGGTAGTACACATACAAATATATCAATGACAAGTTCATTGTTTACGGAATGGACAGTCACAGGTAAGATAGGGATGCAGAGCAATTTGTTGAATAGCCATTGCGTTTCCAGATGCAAATAACAAAAGGTCTTTGTCTTAAGAATGGACAGTTACAGGTGGATTTTACCTTTGCCTTTGAAGCAAAACAGGGCACTGGAACAGGAAAATCACTCATTGACAACAAACATGTATGGGGTATTTTTTTTCTATCTTAACGAGGTTGGATCCTGATATTTAAAGTCTTAAACTTTTTTGTGAAGTATATTTTTAGTTACTACACATAAAGCTTAATTAAAAATCAAAACAAAAAATGGGGATCAATATGCTTCTTTTGGCGCTACAGTACATTTAATATGACCTTTTTGCACTGAAATTTGTGTCTTTATCAAAAATCACATCTTCGAAGTTTTCCCTCCAATGTTTTTATCCAAATAAATCATGGGACGAAATAAACTATTAGTCTATTTTAAAAAAGACACATTAAAATTTTGACTAAGAAAAAGTTTCAAATTGCTTCGCATAATCAATTATTTGACCTTTCTGCACTCACAAAATGTGATTTTTCTGGCATTAAAATTTAACAAGCAAGAAAATTATTTTAAAGTCTTAAACTTTTGTTGAATTTAAGCAGATTGATCAAAGTTAACCTATATATTCAGAAAAGAAAAACAAAAGTGGGGGTCTATGAAGTAAATTTTTAGATATTACTAAAAAAGTGTTAATTTTATGTTAAAATTGGCTCAGTTTTTTCCTGGACTTTCAGAAAATATTTACTATATTTGTCACAATATAATGAAAGAATTCATAAGAAATAATTTAATAGATATTTCAGAACCAGTATAAAACATTTCACTGCAAAAACAGCTCTGTGTGCAACCAGCATGAAAAAATAGGAATTTAAACTTAACAGTACTGTATATATTTCAAAAGGGAAAAATTGATCATTTTCTTCTTAAAAACCTTCCGCCACAAAATATAGTTCGTGGCTTAATCTTATTTGGATGGAATTTAATCGCGGTTTTTTCATTGGATATAGTTTAATTTGCATTGTAGAATCCAGATTTAATGTTAGAACTTAAAAATGATGCAGAATTTTAAAAATAAAGGTCCAGACCAAAATCTGCTCAAAAGCACAGGATCGAACCTCCTTAATAATATCGAGCAAGTAAGCAATTATAGTGACACCCACAACGTCCTCGACAAATGCCTAGAACATGCAGCTCTATAGAAAGAGTTGTATTCTTCTTGGAAACATCTAATGTTTTCAAAGGATCTTGGGACGAATATGCAACGGGAGAATACATTCTCTTTCAAGGGAAGATAATTAAGAATTATTGAAAATATAATGGCATCTATAAATAATCTTCATCAATGGGTCATAAAATGTGGAGGTTATGCGAAAACTTTACAAGCTAATTCAGAGAATATGTGTCCCCTGCTT